GATAGATAAGGGATAAGTGTCTTTGTGCATATCAAGCACAACACGAGCCACCATTTCTCAAGGGTCTTTTTGAAACACAAATTGGTTTTGAGACATTTTCTGTGTTGACCTCTTTGATTTGAAATGGGAAATGACAGGGACATGGTAGTTCTCATATTCAAAAAGAACCCCTGAGAGGTCAATGACTGAATCATACATATACACACAAGATAATGGGAAATATGTCATTAATCTTTTATATATGGATTATTATTTGAGCTATGCTAGACTTGTCCCCAGGTGGTCAATGAAGGAAATTCAGAATAGCTGTTATAAAAAGAGGGTGTGCATGGAAAAACATGTATAAAGAATAATTATGATCATGTAAGAATCAGGTAATAACTGTTTGATTTTAGAGGAAAGAGACGCATAGATAAACAATACCCACAGTACCTTCTACAAACAGAAGATAGAAAAAAAAACACACAGTCCAGTGTGAGACGAGGATGGATTGGTATCGCATCTTATTTTGTAAAAGTACATCCCTCATCCACCAAGATGGAGCAAACATTTCATCCCCTGCATGCTTTGTGTTTTGTCCAGGCTTGTGATGGATGAAGGGCTTGGCGACACACACCTGCAGTTCTCATCCGCCACCACATCATAACTAAAAGCCTGGCAGACTGAGATGATCTCCTACATCCGTTAGGCTGCCGCTGTCAAACACCATCATTCTCCGAAGACAACTCTGTCACACCCTCCCACCGCAAAATAAACCCACCTTGATGAAAGACTGCCGCGTGTCCATCAAAAAAGTACAAATACACTGTTGCTGACACCAGCCTGAGAGACACACTATCAGTGACAGAGACACACTGAGGAGCACACTGAGGAGGATGCGCCTGAAAAACCTCAGTCTTGTTTAACATGTCCAATTCTTCAGTGACTGTGAAACAATAGTACAGATACTACATAAAAACAGAACTGAAATATTCTCTTTTAGTACATTCAGTTCAATGCAGTTTTACTTAAGCATACAGAGTGAAGTGTTTATCTGCAGACTCAGTAAAGATTAAATATAATATTCATTAGTGTTTAATTTAATCTATTATCACCTGAATATTGAAATCTGTCATATCTAAGCATGGCGCGGGTGCCGTTTCATGGAGGGCACAATCGTCTTCATTTCTACTATAGCGCAGAACAGACAAATTATGAACAGATGCACTTTTGTAATTAGTGAGTGGTCACATAAATTCACTTTTGGCAGAGGAGAAAGAAGGTGGTTGTTGTGGGCAGAGGAGTTGGTATGGGTGGATGTTTTTGATGGTAAAAACTTGACAATGGAGGTTTGTACTTATCAATGCATCTTGGATCTTCTTGTCCTGTAAGGCCACTGTTACTTCATAGGAGGAGTGAGCAGAAGAGCGTGTTCATCAAGAATCTTGAGCATTGGTAAGTGAAACAAGTTACTTTGTCTTCTGGGTCATAGGACATATTCAAGGCTTCTGCATAGCTAATGCTTGGCATAACTATAGAGAGGTTTTCTATTTTTAGATCTTAAACATAGACTGTAAATACTATGGACAACTTGGGTCCGCCTTCTGCCGAATTGCCATTGTCGTACACACTCGACCACTTGCGCAGTAGTATTGTACACATTCGGCGGGAGAGTCGCTGTGATGGCGCTCGGCTCAAACAGCGTATCCCCCGGGTGAGCTATGCAATCTTCGTAGGCTGTATCAAGGGGGGAGAAAAATGTATATTCTGTGTAATTAATTTCTAAAGTTTGTCCACAGCTCCATAGGGATTGCTGGAGGAGGTGGGATTTATGACATATACTGCAGCCTGTCACCAGAGGGTGCTGTTCCCGTGGTGGCTTCAGCCAGCAAGGAGGCAGAATGCGTCTATTCTATATACAGTCTATAGTTTTAAGTGATAAAAAAATAAATTTAAAATATGAATGTTTTCTCTACATTTAAGTGAAATTGAGTCTCTGAGCTAAAGATTTCAGCATCATTGTGTTAATCATAAAGCAGTTACAGTATGAAAATTAAGGATGCATTTTTTCTAATCCTGTACCTTTTTTAAGATGCAGATTTTGCCTTGAGCCCACTTCCAATATTGTAAGTTACCTCATATTATTAAAAATACCCACAACATTGTAGTAAAACCTTTTAAAAGTCTGGAATTGTACTATTTCAGTTAGAAAACCAAACTGCAGACCCAACCTACTCTGTTCCTGGTGGCAGAAGCCTTTTTAGTACGGCTGTATGGGAGTGTAATTGTCAGAGATCTTGAACAACATTCCTGAATTAAGTCCACAAACTGACTGGAATCAACATAAAAATAGAGTGAAGCAGGTATCTTGTGCAAAACGTGAATAGTGATAACTTCTCCCCGAATGCGGTTTCCACAATGAGCGGTTTTATCAGGATCCGAGCAGATTTCTCAGACTTTAGTTCTTGATCCAGCACAAAAGCTCCCAGTCGTTGGTGCTTTGTTTGTTGATTCTCTGTCAGACATTGTTTGTTTGGTTTGAGGTATTTTGGAGGGGTATTAAACCATACGTCAGAGTTGGGCGCAAAGTTGGAGGCTTTTTATACGGCAGGCGCACGCCGGGATGCTCAGAAGGAGCTTTGTCTTTGTTTCATGGTTGACAATGATCCTCATGACGCTATCACATGCAAACCAGGAGCAACGTCCATGAAAGTATGAAGCTCTGACAAAAGACTGCTACACTGTTCGGCATCATAACACACCTGAAGCTCAAGAGTAGAACTTCCTTGACTTTATTTCACTCCTCTGAGACTCCATAGAGTGACACGTCTCCATCATTTCCTCTGTCATACGATGCAAACACAGCAATAGAGAGCCAAGTCTGTGTTTTCCCAAGCAAACACCAACATTTCCCTCCTCTATCAGGGCAGAGGCAGACAGGAGTTCTGCAGGTTAATACTCCCTCCCCATGTTCCCACCAGCCCAGGTAATTTTGTTATTCCGATTGTGCCCTCTGTCTACACCCACCCCTGTCTGCTGTACATAATGGTCCCAGCCCTGAGAGGAAGCAGGCATTTACTTATACAAAACCTAGAGGAAATCCCTACCAATCCTCAGGGCTCACGTTCAGCAGCGCCCAAAACACAAAGGCTATGCAAATCTGCCCAGCCTGCGTTTATCTACCCTCGGTTTCCGTTTGCACCACGGGAACCAGCATTGTGCCGTGCGTGGCGATTATCGCATGTAATTTACATAGAATACGCACAGGAAACAGTGCACTGATCTCTAACAAAGCAGGAAAGAGTCTCTATCGGCTCAGCAGCTATCTGACGGCACAGCAAAATTACAGGTTTAGCTGTGGGGTATTAAAGCTACAAGGTGTTTTTTATTTCTGGTGTGGAGGGAACACTATCTCCTCCAAATGTTGCTTGTTTATCTGCCTTGTTTGTTTTATAACCCAAGTCTAGCAGCCCCTTTCCTGAGGAAGCTGCATCTTCAGCCAGGCTAATCTGCCCTCTGCCTGTGTTTCCTTTGTCACTGAATCCGTGTATCAACACAGCGAGGTGCAGCCAGATCGAGGAGGTGTGTAATTGCACAAAGACACTCACGCTAATATAGCCGGGAGAGTGAGTGAGTATGTGTGTGACTGACTCAGCCGACATGAGACATGTTGTGAGTGTGAGGAATGGAAGTCATAACACTGCAGCATGGCGTCATCCGTACAAAGGCTGGTACTGTAAGTACTCTATCAGAAACTTGAGACATGAGGGCAAGATGAGAGATCAAATTCCAGATGAAGACGCTTTACCTGCAGGGCTGCCTGAGGATGAAAACCCCACAACTCGCCGCTTACCTTTGGCGGGGAGTCATCTAGAGGTCACTTTATACAATGAATCACTTGCAACTCTCTACAGCTAAACATTAGGGCTGTGATAAATATAAAAAGGAGTTAGGAGGAGAAAATACTACAGCGCAGGGAGCAAAAGAAACTTCTGAAAAGCAAAAGGATGTATCATAAAACTCTGGCCTTGGCGCAACAAAAGACGGTAAAGCGCTTTGACGATATAAAGCCTGTGTAATTAGTTGAAAAGGTGCAGACATTTTCTGTCAGGCTCTGAAAGCGACCGTGCAAACATTCATACAGATAAGATAGAAACAGTCACTGTAGTGAGCAGAGATATAGTGATTTACTGCACCGAACTATAACATTTAGACTGACTGCAAAAACGCTAAAAATGATTCTGAAGCACCACTGCATCCCGCCTTAAAATAAAAGGCTGAAAAGGCATCTATTTGTGTAGACGCTGTCGTATAACATACACATCTGCGTCATCACAAATGAGCCGTTTTCTAATTGTGAGCTGAGCAAAGACAGTTTCCATCGAGTACATTTCCTTGTTTGCAGTATAAGAGAAAAGAAAAAAAGAGCACAGCTTTCTGCACATGAATCATCAAAAATAGTCTCATAAATTATGGGTTGGTTCACTGTGGCCAGTCAGGAGGCAATCTCTAGCAGAACAGACACCCGTCTGATTTTGTTCCAAGAAGACAAGCCAAAGTACATTGCCGTCATTAATATAACACTGATTCTTTCAGAACAGGCCCTCCGAAGGCCAGTCACAAGCCTAGCATGGGTTTCTCACAATACAATAGGCACCCTTACAACCTTATCACCCCAGCCATCTTCATCATCATAATAATCAATTGCAGTATGATGCGGCTCAGTCATCAGTTTTCAGTATGACACCAGTAAGTTTTCATTTTTCTCTTAAAATGTTGCAAACACAAAAGTAGGCCTGTTGCAAAACATCAAACTTATACCTTCAGCAAACAAAGTAATTTTCGATTTCATCTGAGCGTTTCACAACCAAAAGAAGAGAAAACTCCTCCGCCCTGGGTCAGGATTTGATGCGTCTGTGATTGCCTTTAATTTGCCGCAGAGCAAATTCTACAGAGTACAGCTGTGTATACATGTTGAACTTTGTGCACTAGCATGACAAATGAACACACAACCACAAATATATGACTGTTAACAACTGCTTTGGGGTTTATTTTACAATTGAGAAAGAAATGAAACAAACTAATTGGTGCTAAAAACTTTTTTTTTTTACAATATTGTCGATAAAACATTGAAATGTATAGTCATTGTGCATCGCTTATTTATTTTCCACACCATTTCATGCATCAAATTGGATGCAAGTATAATTAAAATCATTTCTGTAAACCAAGCCAAAGAAGCTAAATTTGTATTTTCTTTAAAAAAGGACATTTTTGTAGCTCTACAGCATATATCTATGTACACCATCTGTTTTTATTTTTTATCATTTTTGTATATAAAATGACAATATAAAAGTTAGAGAATGCACACACCTTAAGATACAAAGAATGTTGAGCCGTTTCAAATGGTAAGATATGTCTTATGGAGTACTGACATTTCACTGGTAATCATTTACATGTAACGGACTGTTCTCTTTACAGTTGAATAAAGCGACACAATTTAGAAAGAGAAAGTTGTAACAAACCATACAACTGGAAAATTGCTATAAGGTGATACTTCACAACAAGGAAAAGTTTTTTGAGCAAACTTGCATACTGACGGCCATTCATTTTCACTGATTGACTCGTAACCAGAAGCAGCATTTCAGCTTTTTGAAATGTTCACAAGGTCTTTTTTCTATTTTCGCTGACAGATTTATTAGCAGGCCATTCATCATCAAAACATCGCAGTGACAGGAACCGAAAAGGAGAGGGGGAAATGATAAACTTTGATCTCTTAAAATCAATCTGATTTTGACAAATGCTATTGAAAGATACTTCAAAACATGTTCTCTTTACAAATTCAAAATTCATCTCTCTAAGGTGCTACTTCAGTCTTTCAGGGTATTCTTTCATTCTTTTGGTGTATACATTTAATTATCACCTTCTTCATATCAAGTATTTTACAGTTTTCTCTTCTACCAGTTCTCCTCTCGCTCACCTCTTTTACCATTGAAGCAGTAGTTGTATTTTTGCCATGAAAAGATTAAAATCTTGTGTTTAACCTTGATTCACTAAAATACATGCACAGATCAGACAAATAGCATATAAATATATTACAAAATAAGTGTAAAAAAGCTTGGCAAAACGAAAACAAATCAACATTGAAAAGACATGGTCCAGTCAGGCAGTTATCACAACAAAAGAAAAAAAATAATAATAATAAGACCGATTTTTTCTGGCGGCTCAGTTCGGCCCAGTGCAGTAACTGTGAACAATGTCATTTAGTGCAATGAAATTCTAATCAGTTCCACAGCTGTCAGTCTCTAACCTCAGCCTGAGACCCCGCTCAAACTTTCTCCATCTTGTCTAGCTTCTCCAGTTTCTCCAAAGCTGTGACAAACACCAGGTGGTCCTCTGGAGACTTGCCGTGGGTCTTGCTGAGGTGCAGTTTGACTGCGTGTTTGCTGACGAATGTCCGATTGCAAAGTCTGCACTGGTACACAGAGCCTGTGTCGTCCTCTGGCGTGGTCAAGGCTGACAGGGGGCTGCCGAATGTCATTTTGTCTGTGATCACCTTTGAGGCAGCCTGCTGCTCCCGTAGGTGCTCAGCTGACAGTTTGGACAGGTCCTTCAAGCTGAAGCCCAGGTGAGACTCCAGGTGGCCGATGTAGGCGGAGGGAGTCCTGAACTGGGAGGCACAGTCACCACAAAGGAACACGGGCTGGCACGAGTCCATGTTCTTGAGAAACTTGGTGCCCCCAGTCCGTCTCAGCTGGTACTTCACATTAGCCAGCCAGTGGGATATGGTAGTCATGGAGAGGCCTGTGAACTTACATATGTGGACTCTTTCCTGGGGGCCCAGGTCAGTCATAGCGTAGCGGCCTTCAGGGGTCTCCCTCAGGCTGGAGGCAAACTGGGCCTGGAGGATGAGGAGGTGCTGGGGATTCCAGTTGGATTGCCTCCCTTTCCTTTTCTGCACTGGGGAGAGATCCTCCAGGGCATCCTCAAATGCACTGCCATCTGCATCTGACTTCTCTGAGATGGAGGAGGGAGTCGAGGATTTGGGTGTCAGTCTTCCAGTGAGGTTTTTGACCATATCTGAAATGTCCATCAGCGCATTCTCTCTCAGAGGAGAGGAGACCGAGTCCGGGAGGGAGATGAGGGGTTTGTTACCGTTGACACTACTGTTATTGTTGGTCAGGAGCACACTACTGTTGTTATTGTTGTTAGTATTGGTGTTAGCGGAGGACTTGTTTTTACTAAGGTCTATGGGCTGGTCACTGTTGTCATATAACTGATAGTGGTTGATGGGCTCAGCAGGCTTGCCCTGAGGAGTTGGGTTAAAAGCTGGCTTATCCATCATGCTGTTGCTGATCTTGTAAAGCATGGATAGTGGATCAGCAGCTGGACTTACAGGTTTGGAGGCCTTACCCAGGTGTGTGTTCATGATTGACTGGAGTGCGCTAAGAGGATTGATGAATGGACTTTCTGGTGAGTGATCAGTGATGATGCCAAGACTGTTGCCATTAGTTACGGGGGACTGGCAGGCCTCAGAGCCGTTCTTTGAATGGTTGTTATGTCCGTCTACTAGGCTCTCTTTGGGCTCCTTCTTGCAGATAAGCTCTGAATCTACACTACCTGGGCTGCTACTTCTCATACCAGATGGTTTACCTACAGAAAGGTCATTCGGAGATGCTAAATGCTCTCTCTGCTCTCTCAGAGCGGGAGAGGGAGATTTGACTATAGATGGAGGCCGGCATCTTTCCAGACTCACCATCTTCTCCTCCTTTTCCTTCTTTACAGTGGCAGATTTACCTGTCACTTTTTCCACAAGCTCCTCCATGGCAGTGACGTTACTCCTGAGGGGGGTTGGGGAGGAAGGACTACGGGGAGAGTGAATGACCGAGTTGGGGTCAGTCACTAGGCCTCGTAGCCCACTGTTAAACATGGGCTGCATCTGGACACTCTGGACCATTGGGGGTAGAACAGTAGCGGAGCTCTTCATGGCACCCTGCAGCTGGTAGGCTGCATGGATGCTAGGATAACCACCCCACGTGGGTGTGCCTGTCTGGGCCTTACTAATAGCACTAGATACAGTGTTCTCCAGGGATTTAAGAATATCTAAACCCTCTTTTGGAGTCTCCTCCAGGTCTTCCTCTCTAAGGTATTTATATGAAGTGGTATCATTCTCAGACTTTTCACCTGGGTCATCTTTCTCCTCCTTGATTTTTCTCTCCAGTGGCTCACCACCTTCAACCTTTTCGTCCTCAGCCATGTCTCTTTTTTCCTCTGAGGCAGAGGAAAGCGCAGGGGACACTGGTTGGGATTTGACACTACTTGGAACAGGGAGTCTGGTGGTGGTGGGTGGCAGTGGGATGGACTGAATCTTCTCCTCCACCACCGGGTCAAAAACAAGCTGTTTACCCTTCTTGGATGCTGAATTTGTGACCTTCAGAAAGTGACCTGTGACCATCATGTGAGCAGTCAGCTGCTGCAGTGTATCATGAGAGCTCCCACACTCCATGCATTTGAGGATCTGGGCTTTACGAGCCTCAAACTGCCATGTATAACTGGCCCCGTTCTGGTAACCATAGCGGTTGTTTGGTGTAACATAGGGGTTAGCTGCAGCTTTTGAGTCTTTGCCAACATCCCCTAGAGATACACCACCGCCACCACTACCAGCATGTAAAGAGTCTGGGGAGCACGGAGAGACTATAGCATCTTGGATAGCTCGTTTTTTAGCTGAAGTGGACACCAGTTTAGTGGCCAAGGCTGGCACTGGTTCTTTGAGAGGCACTTTCTGGTAATGCTTGGTCTTGATCATATGAACGCTGAGATCTTGAAGAGATTCGAATGAATGGCCACAGTACATGCACTTCAGGACCTTCTGGGCATCCTCCTTCCCCTCCATCTCCATCAGGGAGCGCTTACGAGGTTTCGACCAACGCTTTCCGTGCTCCTCTTCTTTGTCCTTGTTGTCGTCTCGGTAGTGGCCCGTCTCGTTCATGTGAACCGTCAAACCCACCAGTGTGTCATAAGCGGCGCTACAGTCTTTGCAGCGAAACTTGCTTGCACCGGTGAAAACAGAGCCGTACAGCTTGTTGTTCTGCCGGTAGAGCTGCACTGTGCTAAAGAGGCTGGGCTCTGGTAATAGATGATAAGGAGTCTGCTGAAGAGTTTTAGCTAGTGCTGCCTGGTGCCAGTCATAAGCTACACCACCACCATTACTGGCCCCACCGCTGCTACTCCCACTGCTGCTTGTTGCACTGTGGCTGCTAACAGAGCAAGCTGCTGTGCCGTTAGTATTGCCACTTGTGCTGCCTGTGTGGTTGACAGTGCTGCTTGAGCTCCTACCATTGTGGTGACTGCTAGCCATGTTTACCCCACTGCTCTTGTTTGTGGTTGTAGTTATGGAGACAGAAGCAGTTGAGGTTGGCTCTGGGGTAGGAAGGGCACTGTTGACACTGCCAGCTGCTGCAGGCTTAGCTTTCATGATGTCCATTGTGATACTGGACCAAGAGGCATCTGAGATGAGGTTTGCATAGACGGCTTTCATCTGTGCCAGGCTGTCCTGGAAAGAGAGGCCGTTGTTGGGACGGAAGGGCAGAGCCATGCCCTCCCTCTCCTGACCGTCCCTGGAAGAGGTGCTCTTGAAGTCTGTGAGTCTGTCGCTAGCATCGCTGAGCGGAGACCCGTATCCAGCATCAGGGTTGGTGCCATTGCTAAGTGGAGAGTCTCTGTAGCTCGGCGGCTGGCCTCCATCTGCGTCTGCATCCTCTTCCTCATTGCACAGGAACTCATTGTCCTGGCCGTCTAATGAGAGGCCGTCATCCTGCAGGTGCTCTTCCTCTTCTTGACCGGCAACCTTAAGCTCATCATCGGGCATGTATGCTGGATAGAAAGAAAGTGAGAGAGAGAGGAGATATAAAAAAGAGAAGGGGAAGAGTGAGAGAAAAGAGGTCAACTCAGTGAAATAAAAGATTTACAGCACACTAACAGGACTACTGTCAAAATAACATGGAATGAATACTAAATGATGGGAAATGTGGGCTTTTATTCTCATCCAGTGTGAGTGCGTGTGTGTCTGTATGCACGCATGCAAGACTTTGTGTATATTTTACACACATGTGGCTCTGAAAGCCAGCGGTGAAAAAAGCCTCCAAGGGAAAAATAAATCACTGAGCCTCTGACAGTTGTCCTTTTCCTTCCCAACTCCCTATTCCTCTGCACATGCCTGATGTTCCCCAGGAAATGACTGGCTGTTTGGCCTTGTTAGCCAGCTGCATGCTTGCATGTTCGCCTCCCCCCTTGTCTCTGTCTTTCTCACTTCCCTGAGCTTTAATGCCTTTCACTCATTCGGTCCAGAAAGTTCAGCTCCTCACATGTTCAGGTTATGCAACTCATCAGGGAGTTAAAGAAACAAAACGCTGATTCTATGATGTGGCATTTTTTTTCCAAACCCACACTGATGAGCTAAAGGTCATAGCAAGTACTTAACGGTGCTCAGTTTGAGAATGCCACAATGACTGGTTAAAAAAAAATTCAGCCTGGGATGGACAGTTTGTGCATTTGCAAAATACTCCCTTGCCTTCTGATCCAAAATGGCATTACCTGCGCTTCAAAAATGATAGACTCAAAAAGAAAAGCAAACACAAGATCAAAGATCCTGGCATGGAAAGAGGCAACCGAACACAACTGAGATGTAACAGGTTTACCAGCAAAATATATAAAGGCAAATGAGATAGAAGGCTAGACCATGTGTGTGTGTGTGTGTGTGTGAGGAGAAGACACAGCAAGCATCTGTAAGTAGGAGAGACAGGAGGTGGTTAGGGGGAGAACAAGTGAGTGAAGAGAAAACGTGGGGGAGAAAGAAAAAGTGAGCAGGAGGTGGTAGGTTTGATGGGTGGGGAGAGGGGGAGTACCAGAAAAGGGAGAAAGACGAGGGAGAGAGGGGGTGAGGGAGACAGGAAAGACGGCCCCCTAGCTTCTTCCTTTATCTCCTTCCTGCATGGTGAGATGTGTGTCCTAGATGCCAGTATCAGTCTCTCCTGATGAAACAGATGTGCTGTCAGCTTCAAACGGCACGCTAACCTGTCATATCATAATCTAAGTGGACATAATACCTGATATATATACACTGGCACCATTTACTGCTGCCTGAGAGGAGATGGGTGGAGGAGGTGGGGGAGGTGAGCAGCTGCACCGTCGACTGTGACTGTGCGATGATGTGCACGCGTGTGCGAGTGAGTGCCTCGGTAAGTGCCTGTTTGCGAATGCATGTTTGTCCGCATGCTCACCTTTCCGTGCCTATGTGCGTACTTTACACACTCTGCAGCTCCTACATGCCTGCTCGTTCGGTGCAAACCCGAACCCACCGACCATAATATTGCCTATAAGTCTGAGTTCGCTGTGTGCTACTGATACACCCTTCTCCAAATGAGCAACATACTCCCCTAACGCTTGACAGGATTTCAGTGAAATGAGAGCACTACAGGAGAACCTGGCTGCGCTTCAATCCCACTGACAGACTGAGACCGAGACAGTTTCTAAAACTCCTGAAAATCCCTAACACAGCAGATTAGCATTATGTGCTGTACACTCTACAACACATCTGCAGAGTGTCTTCTGTTACAGTGCCTTCCCCTTGGCTAACCCGCTTTCAGAACAGGAGGCTATCAATACATATCAGCCATTTAATATACAAAGCATCCAGCAACAAGGCTATCCTTTTTTTTTTTTTTTACAAGCCCCCACACACACAGGGCAAACATACAGTAGGAATTACCTATGTGAGTCACTCTCATCTGCTGCAGCCAAAAAAATAGCTAAACCCCAATAATTGGCAGTGCTGAAGACACACACACACACACACAAACTCACACACTCACACTCACACACACACATAGACGGCAGGAATGAGAAGCAGCAGATCAGAAATATCCCTGGGTGAGTGACAAAACACAGACTGCAGCAGGGAGGGGCTTCGAACAATGAGCAGGTCGCCAGGGAACCCTTTGACGATCCCTGTCAATCAATGCCTGTCCTGCCATGTTGTCATGGAAACAACAAAGAGGGAGATATCAAAAGCACACAGACAAAAGACTGGCAGAGACAGACATCTGTAAAAATCACAGGCAGCAAGTGGACGGTTTTCGCAAACCATAAATGTGAAATATTAGTGATGAAACGTGGCTAACGTCTGTCTGAAATAAATGATCCCTCCATCTATTTTGAGATGAGGCATTCATTCTGACAGGATGCTAAAATCCAAAGCACTAAGACTGAGGGGTATCAAGAGATACAAATCAGCTCTATCTGTCCAATCAGTGCAGTTTGAAGACGTGTGATTGTGACTGAAGACCAGATTAGGCTCCAGCTCTCGTCCTGGACGCACATATGCAGATCAACACCGGCAGTGGGGAGGAGGGGGCAGGCTCGGGAAGGGGCAGGGCTGGCGTGCCGTCCCTGGCGGTTTGGTTTGCCGAGTGGGTGATGGCTGTGAGCAGGGCCATCTGCACGAGCGCCAAAGCGCCTGTCACTTTTGCTCGGGGACGTGCCGCCATCAAGGAGACAGGCGGCAGCGTGGCCAGGATAGCACTGCAGACTCACTGTCAGAAGCTGCAGCGATCAAGCCCGCCACCAGCCACGCCAGATCACCGACGACATACACACCACAGCAGCAAGAATTAGTCATCCAAGTGTATCTCCCAATACCTACGCATATGGTTATTTCAGTCTTAATAAAAAGGATCTTAAACGTGTTTAGCACCTAAAGGGTTCGCAGGATCCCCTTTAGATGTTATAAAGAGCCTTTTTAAAAATGCATAATGCTAAAACGGATTGACACACACGCACACACACTCTTTATGACGCTGTAAAACAGGTGTTATCAAAGGTTTTAGTGTCTCATGTGACAAAGATTGTTTGGGAGACAGACTCATATCTAATTAGAGATAAAGGCCCAAGTGGGTGTTTTGTTCTCATGCATCTTTATGTATTTTTATTATTCCTAAATGAGAGCTCACATGCAAACCTACGACACACCTCTGATTACTCTGATTTATTCTGACATGACTTGTACGAATGGTTTGCTTCATTCTAGAGTTCCCATAAACAATCCGTGGTCGGGATTGAGCGCTGAACTCTTCTTCTCAGAGACCACACCAGAGCTGACTGTGAGCTAAGTCCCGTTTTGCAGAAAACACAGTTTTATATGATGTTTTTCTGATGATAGGACGGGTGAACGCCCTCTATCCTGCCTCAGCGCAACACAGGGCCTCACAGAGGGACAACATGACTGACCTACGTACAGATCATCTCGAAAATATCCTCCCTCACACACAGCCTGCCGCCGATCATGACATGATTTTTCGTAAATGATACCTAATGAAATACAACCAGCGGACACGTCAGCGTTTTGGCAAGGAGTGCAGCAGAAACATATCACTCCTCTTCAAAACTTTGCTATCTTTCCCCACCCTGCCCATATTTTTTTTTTTTTTTCGCCTTCTCCCTTTTCTTTTCTGAGAGTCTGCTGGTTGTTAAATCAATAAAACTCTCTGTCAGGCTCGCGGAGCTTCACCATTTGGCCGCTGTCAAAGCCAAACAAACCAGATAAGAAAGGCAGAAAGGCGATGAAACGAAAGAGAGAGAGAGAGAGAAAAGAAGGGGATGAAACCAGTCAGCCTCCCCCCCTCATCACCACCACCGCCTCCACCACCACCACCAGCCCCATTTCTCCAACACCCCTCTTTCTATTTATTTACACACATTTCTTTATTTATTTGATGTGAGTTTGGGAAGAGGGGGCAATCACAGCAGTCATTTGCGGCACTAATGTCCAATCACGGGCCCCTTCACTCATGTGATTTAGGCAGTGCAGGAGTGGGCTCATGGCAGAGAATGGTGGGGGGGTAGTTGATGGGGGGTTGGGGGGGGGGGCATAGGCCGTTTAGGCCGGGTCCTAATAGGAAACTGGCAGTCTTATTCCTTCCCCAGATTCTGTTTGTCACCCTGCTCTCCATTACGTGCCTCTCAACCCTGATGGCTTTGGACAGGAGCTGATCAAAAAGCCATCGCTTGACCTACACGCCGTGGCAGAACGAGACTCGCGCCCTGCTCACGGAGAGAGAGAGAGACGGAGATGAGATAGAGGAGACTGTGGGGGGGAGGCGGGGGTTTTTACGTCAGTGTGTGTGCAGAAAGGAGAAAGAGAGAGCAAGCGGTGAGGAGGGAGGATGGAAGGAGGAGGAGGAGGAGGGTGGGGAGGGGGTGATAGCTCTCGGACCGGGACAAGAGGGCTGTAAATAAAATGACATTATTATTTCCTCTGTCCCGTCATGTAGAAAAGCCAATTATGGTAATGCTGCTGCCGGCGTGTCAGAGGGAATGCTGGGATGTGCTTCCCGTGAAGCGGCTAACATGAGAGCAATGCCCTGATCAGGAACACAGGCCTCAGTTTGACAAGCGACGGTACAGATAGGGAGAAGAAAGAGAGAGGGAGAGGGGAGCACGAGCGAGAGAAAGAGATATGAAGATAACACAAAGCTGCATCTGGGCCTTGTTTTCTTAACAGATAAATATTTAGCTATCCGCAGGAGAAACTCAACCCATTACAGCTGACAAAATAAGAATTTGGGAATCCATAGTACTCTGTAGTTGTCACATGAGTATTTTAGAAATCTTTGAGCTGTGTTACAGCGTGGGGCTCTATCTTTAATTTGTCAGAGATCATAAAGTTACAAGAAATGAAGACAGTGTTGAGATGTGTCACGCTGAACCGCAGTAAGTGCAGCTCTGATAAGAGAGTGATTGAGAAGCCCCAACCTAAGAAAAGCTATCAACCTGAAAAAGTTCAGGAGTTCGTGAATTATACTCTGTCACACCTCAAAATTTGACGAGATGAATTATGCAAAGATGACGGTAAGGGAGCCGGATATTGAGGGTGAAGGCGATCATTTACTTTAGGAGCTAATTCGTTCTCATCTCGTCTTAGGCTTCTCCCGGTATCCCGATCTTAAAATTCCTCCTACGCCTGATAGGGGGGCTCTCCTTAAAATAATTCCTCAGCTACCTTGCTCTCCTCTTTTTCTCTTTTCTCCCACCCTCCTCTTCCTCTTCTCCCTCCTCTTCCTTTCTCCAGCCCTGCTCTCATGCCCACATGGGCCCCTCCCAAGCGGAATAATGGGAGCATATGGCCTAGGCAGCACCTACAGGGCCTTAAATAACTGCTGCAGCATTCCAGCTCGCTGTACCAATTTATCTCTCAACCCCCCCTCTACACCCCATTTCAAAACACTTCCAGCCTGAGTCGAGCTCTGCAGACAGTGGCGGATGGGACATGTTGTTCTTCAGACACGTAGCTACATAATGGACTGACGTAGAAGATGGTGTGAATGTGAATAAGTGCTGTGCAAACAGGATTAGCACTGAAATTCTGTATTATTGGCAGATATTCAGTGAGTCAACCGGCAGCCTTTTCCGCTGATCGTTTGCGCTGGTGACTCCATGCAAACACTTCAAGTCATGTTGATTTACAGCAGGCCGGTAGCATTATGTAAAAGCATCGCACTGATCTGTTAGAGAGCAGTTTGCTGCTGGGTTTTGCTCTGCAAGCAGGTTGGCAATGTTGGCTTGGCTGCCAGCCTTTCTCTCTAAAGGTTGGATACCAATGAAAAATGGCAACTGCACACTTAATCCATGCCATAAATAATTCCTAATTTATCACCTTTTGATCATATTTGGATCTTTGAAATATGCATCTCTGATGGTGCATTTCTTGCAATATAATCTTATAAGTGTTTTTCTCCAGGACTCAGTCATTTGATCAATAAACATACTTGTGTATCCCACTAGGAACAACAGACTTTGGGCAGCTCCTACAAATCACTGCCCTGACATGATATCAGAGAAAATACGCATAAACTGACAGAAATATAGGTAAAATAGGTGTTAAATCAGATCGAGATTTAATGACTATGAAAACTAAAAGTGCAGATGTTTTAGCATAAATAAAGCACAAAAAACAAAAAATGTCCTGATTGGGGAAGTCCTGAAGCAACTCCTTTTTTTTTTTTTTTTTGGTAATTTTGTAATTTCCAAGTCATTGAAATGAAAATTTCTAAAGTCTAAAGCTGAGAAAATGCTCACAGAACAGTAAAGTTGAGCTTTGTTTGTTAAACATGGCTAAACACTTGATCACAGAGTCTGCAGGTTTACAATGTGAAATGGATTTACCAAGTGTGATGAACATTAGCAGAGCTAGCACCTCCTCTGTCTCTCTTCTTGCAGGTTAATGTCCACATGCCTGTGCTGGTTGTCTATTGCTTCAGCCAAGTGGCTCTAGCCAAGTGAATTTACTGCCATTTTCTTGATCAAAACCCACCACACTAAAAGAGACTATTGTTATCTGTGCTTGTTCACACCAGATCAGAAAAAACACCCAAATATGTGTGCTTTTCTGTAATCAAAAATTAATCTAACTGGATTATTGTTTTGAAAGGTACAGAGGGTTCAGAGGTCAAGCAGGTAACCAGTGCTAAGCTGGTAAAGGCCACGCTCTCATGTTCATAAATCAATATGTCCCACAAACATCCTTCTGTCTGACCTCCACACAATGATCTGTGTACTTACTGGAGGGATAGTTGCTGTTTTTGCATATGATGCAAAGCATCAAAGTGTACAAGCAGGTGTAAGATCCAAGAGTAATGTAGGCAGGTTTAAATGTGTGTGTTTATATATTTGTGTGTGTGTGTGGGTAAGTGAGGGAGAGAGAGAGTGTGAAAGGTGCTGCTGTTTTATTTATAGAGCAAGCGCTATTTATACCCAACTCAAAGATCAGTTCAGAGAAGCAGCTCGTGGGCCACAGCCAAGATCACTCTCCATTACTGTGCACGCACAAAACCAAACACACGCACACACATACACACACACTCGAACCAGAGCTGGGGCTGCTCGCACTATCGTATTCACTCTTCACACACGCACGCAGTTACAACACAGAGAGACATTTACAGTATATGCAGCCGTGTGTTAGTTTGTGAAGAGGTGGATGAGGGCGAGGGGGGTTTGGGGGGTTGGAGGGGGCACAGTGACTGACTGAGTGTTCTTCATGGAGTACAGCAGCCTTTAACATGCTGGGGGATCAATACAGTGAACCAGCGCCAATCGATTGCAATTCATCTGGCTTTTTTTTTTTTTTTTTTTCAATTTCATTCTCACCCACTCACACTCTGCATTGAGCTGCTGCTTCTGCTGCTGTCCTGTGAGGCAATACATAAATAAATATACACACATATGCATACACATAAACACAATGACACATACACACACCTGAGTGGCTGGAACAACTGCGCCCTCCGTGCAAACGCGGGTTCAATAAACCCCCGTATGGAATTTATTTATTTTTATTGAGCATATCAGCCCATCCTGGTCTTCTCTGCATAACAAGGCCTGTATAATTAAACCATAAATTTCAGCGTGCTCCTTTAATTACCACAGACAATGTCAGGAGGCAGCAGAGTAAACAAATGGCTTTGAAGTGAGCAAGAAAAAAAAGGGCTTCGACACAGCAATGGAGAAGCTGTTCGTTTTGGTTGGGATGTTGTTGCACTTGAAAAGGATGAAATGTTCAAAAGAGTTTTTTTTTTTTTTTTACGTGCACGGGGAGTACAGTATGTGTTTTTCTTTTCCCTCCCGCCTTTTCCAAGAATGCTTTTGAGGGATGCAGGTTTGTCGAGAGTGAAGGGAGGAATAATCAACGGAAGTGTATCGCTGCGAGCGTGACGATGTGCAAATATGTATATTTGGATGAGCAGGGCACACTCGCGACAACTATAAAGTATGTAACGAAGTGTGTATTTGTGTGCGTATGTGTGTGTGTTAAAGCCTTTGTTTTGTCTGAGCAAACAGGCACAGGAGGTGCGTTTGTTTCTGTACGTAATTTACAGAGAGCCAGGGGTTCTTGTCCCTCTTGACCATGACTGGAGACATCTGTGTGTCTTTTACAGTATATAACCGCTTGAGTGTGTGCGTGTGCGCCCATGTATCGTGTGTGTGTGTGTGTGTGTGTGTGTGTGTGTGTGTGTGTGTGCTTTAGGTCAATGTCAACACACAGACCTGCTTCCCAGCAGCTTAGCTAATTACACAAGAGCCCTGAAGGCCACTTAGAACAGGTTAGCTAATTAACAAACAGGCTGATTGCAGATTAATTGAGAGGTGTTCCTAATCTTCACCCCTAAACGCAATGACAAACGCTAACTGGCGCTAATTAGACCAGTATGGAGAGCTGAGAGTGGAGGCTGTATTTACAGTTACGGCGGCTCATATGGACGTGTGGCTTAAATCCAGCTGTCTTTACACATCTGCAGGTTAAGAAAAGAAAAGCTCCGTAAACTTGCCCCGGCTCCTCTATCAGCAGCCTTGTTGAGACCATCCTAAAGTTTTGGATTTCTTAATTGTACATTGAGTTAGCAACATTAATTATTTTACTGTTAGCATTACCATCAATTTTGCAAATAGCTTCACTTATGAGATTTGTTTAATTGATCACCCTAAGAAAACAACTACATAAAAAAATCAGACTCTGTGGATGCTTTTGCTTTGATATTTTAAGTGTGACTCATATCTGATCAGATCCATAGCGGATATGGTCTGACAACAATATTATAAAATGTCATATCTGGATATCTGGTTTCTGGATTTGGACTACTTTAATACTTATTACCAGTGTTTTTATGCTTTATACTCCACATACTGTATTTTTATATATGGCATAGGGTCTTATTTGGATTTTTAATTAACTGTGTTATTAACATATGACACATCTGAGCACATTACAATGCACTAGTTTATCCACAGAAAGGCAGAGCCCCCTCTCAGAGGCCTTACTGAAAAAAAAAAGTTCTGTATTCCTGTGAATTAATAAAGATTAATTTTAATGTTCTTACTGGAAGAGGTGAGAAAAAGCTCTAGTTTTAACACTTTCATCCACAGACAGAACTATTCTTAATATTCAATAACCATATTACAGTGTGTTTAGTTAGTATGTGCAATTTGAATTTTGATAACCTCAGAACAGATGGAGCTTTGCGCCCCCTTGAGATCTCTTGCGCCCCTCTAGAGTGTCCCGTACCCTAGGTTGGGAACCAGTACTATATTTGTATGAGGGATATTCTGTTCAGTATCTGTCTTGTTATCAGGCATAAAAATAATTCTCCTATCAGCTCAAGATATGATTCAGATCCTTGTAAGAAAAAAACACCCTGGATTCCTGGGGTTTTGGCACAGTGCGGTAGTTATTCAATATGTCATGTTTGTTTATTTTTAACTTATTATAAAGTACTTTTTATGTCAATAGACACCTGTGGTAATAGCTAGTAGACTGTAAATATTATTAAAATGTTCTCCAAGTTCTGGCTCTGAGGCTTATATAACAGCCGCAGTAAACACTCGACAATCTCAAAGCTCCATGTCAGCTGTGATGATAATGTTCCTGCACTTACTTTGAAAATTCCCTCTTGTGTGTTGGCTGATCGCAGTGTTAAGACGACAGTATAGTGTTAAAGGTTGACCTTTCAATGCTTGTAAGTGTGTGTGTTTGTGGGGGGCAGTGGGGGTCGGCGCATTCATGTTTTCTCTAACATTAGTGGCGTCCGTGGAGCGTGTAACTTGAAACGTCTATGACACAATAGGTTACCGTGCTTTACGACGGAAAAATGAGAAGAAATAGGCCCCACAGCAGGGACCTAAACCAGTACCCATCTGTGTGTCGATCACCTGCCAATGGAAATAGAAAGACCCCCCCCAGCCCCCCACCCCTCGATTCTCTCTCTCACACACGCACATGCGCACATACTCAATCTTGCAATTTTCACAGCCACTAAAACTACTCCCCAAGGCCCGACTTCTTCCAACTTCCATCTGCTGGGATAAATTTATCATCCAGCTCCCCTGTCCATCACACACTCACATGCACACACACACACACACACACATACAAACTCAAACACACTAACACATACACACCTGTGCTCCTGAAACTGCCCAACCCCTTGACACACACATAGACACACACAAATCCCACCTGGCCTCCTTCAACCTCTGACCCCACCCTCACCTAAGCCCCTCTCCCGCCCATAATCCCTCCCTTCATCCATCGACTCCTTTGCTTCTTTCTCTCCGCTACAACACCTGCGCTTTTAAATCCCTACATCAGGATGGACCACTTCACCTGGACACACACATCACCAATGAGCAGACGCACAAGAGCAAACACACAAACACATGCAAAGCACCCTCACCCAAATCCCACCAACACGCACACATACACACAAGTGTGTACAAACACGCACAAACACACACACATGCACTATCCCTGACAAGACAACAGCCAGCAGCAGCTGCTTCCATCTCCTAGCAACGGCCGGCCTGATAGATGACCCAACGATGGATAATTACCGTAAATCACCACAGCTCACACACTAAAAGAGAGAGAGAAGGGCGAGAGAGCTTGAGAAAGACTGGGAGAGAAAAAAGAGAGGGAGAGGCAGTAGGGAGTGAAAGGGATCAGAAATAGAGGGCCGGGGCTGGTCATGTGTGCGCTAATGCACCTTGATGAGCTCAAATTTATCTGCCTTTTTAAAGAACACAAACCATGTACACATGCAGACGACACACACGATGAGCACAATCTGAAATCATGCCTGACAACGTGAGGAGCGACAATCTATGCAGGGACACTCTTAGAAAGACACATCTGCATATATACAAATGTGAGTATATTGTTTTTCTATTGCCACACACTCACACACAGACACATACACACACACACAGAGGTACACATTGGCAGCATTGTGGCTGTAATCTGAAACTACAGGCCCCGCCTCCCCACAGAGGGGCTTGTCTGTCACTGATTCACCTCTTTTACACAGAGGCGCCAATCAAAGGCCAAACGGTGCTGTAGGGCGGGTCTAAACACTGCTGTGCAGGAACAGACACTCTGGAAAGCTGATATGTAAAGGTTCGTGTTCAAATTAAAAAGTTCTTTTGTCAGTATAATGACCTCTTTCTACAACTACAGTGAAGCTCTTCTCATTTTAGTTTAGGATTTTATTCCTGATGCTAAATTAAATTCAGATAAGTAACCCATAACTTTTAACTCTATCCACATTTTTTGGTAAAGTTATACCTGACTGGGATTAATTTAGCAACAAAACAAACTCCCTCCAGAAGTTTTAAAAGTAATTGCACTCTGCACAAAGTTTGCTCCAAATTATCAACAGATCTCCGATATGCACACGCAGCTGTTTCATTTACTTCCCCTTCATTTTCTGCACTCCCAGACATGCAATCTGTCCTTCTCTTTCCCCGCTTTCTCCCCCCCTCTCCTCCCCCTCCCTTCCCTCCCTGTGCGAGTCCTGGCTGCTGCAGACATTTGATCTGGCTGCCTTGTGATAGATTGACAGGTAATGAGGAGGTTGAAGGGGCGTTGGAGACAGGAGCAGGTGTTCAGCACAGTCTTTTTGGCCAGCGCTAAGCTGCCATGTCCTTCACTGCTGCACCGCACCACTCCGCTTCCTCCCCTCTCTCACTCATTCTTTCCTTCTTTCCTTCCCACCTTCCCCCTTCTTTACTCTTCCTGAGAGAAGAAGACTATGCAATCCATCACTCTGTGACACTGTCGGACATAGACTGTCTTTATATGGGGAAAAACGCACAAGCCATGGAAATAAATAGAGAAACGAACATCCAGTCCCATGCTGGCAGCAGCAAACTAGGCCTCGGACAGATCAGTCAAACTGTGTTGGGGAGAGGATGAGACTGATTTAGAGCATCCTGTGCAGAGGAGACCGATAAGGATACCTTTAGAAACTGATACTTGTACAGATATGACTTGTGAAATGTTGTATTAATCTTATCCATGTCGCTGTGTAATGGCATTTCATCCCCAGGCAATCCCAAAAGCCTCTCAAATGCCAAATAAGCAGCATTATTATTGATCAAACGGCTTTTGAATCCTGCTATGAAACTTGTATTTACTGATTTTTAAAGACATATGTTGGTGAGTAAATCCTCCTACATTTCACTGAAGAGCATTTTCTGGTCAGCCACCTGAAATAAAAACAAAACTAACACTATATTCACCTGCTATAGTCGATCTTGGCTACATCATACAAGAGGTGGGCAGTCTTCTCTGGCCTCAATCCAACAAAAAGCCAATATCAGGAAGCGTACAGTACTGTATATATCAGTCTGATGCTACACCTATTTGAGTCACTCTACACTCTGACCTGTTTCAATCCTGCTGACATAGCGGCGCACCACTGTGCATCCTAGCTCGCAGAGTAGGGAGGAGGAAGAGAGCAGAGAGGAAGAGGAGGAGGAGGGCGAGTGGGAGGACTGAGCAGAAATCTGAGGGTCGGGGTTTGTAAGGATGAGATGAATCAAAAGGAGGTCTGCCAGTTTTTAAATATGCAGGAGGAGAACTGTTGTGCGTTTTTGTGTGTTTCAAGTACAAATTCCAAGAGAAGTGAAACCCACCAGCAGAAATCACAATGACGTTGATTTCCTTCATTTGTCAGGGGAAAAAAAGGGCAGGAAATATCTTTGTTCTTTAAGGTGCCTGAATACATGCAGAAAAGGTTTAACCCAGAATGACAATAGCCTGCTGAAGTTGGCCAGGACCACAACATTTCTTAAACTGAAGTTGACTTGAGGAATTCCTTCCCATCAAACTTCTGTGTGGCTATGACAAAGCTTTGAGGTATGAACCAAAAGAAAAATTGGAATTGAAAGCATCTTGGTTCCATATGCTTCCCAAAATTTAGTCTGGAAAATATGGGAAAGTAATAAAATACTAAGTGTTGTGGTGAAAATTCAGCTATAAAATGTCTGCTGATACAGTGGCCTGTGATTGATTAGTAGGAGCAGTGTTCAGATCACAGACTGTATGGTAGGACGTAGTGTTGGTGTCGTCACCTATTTGTTTCTGAAGCAGGGCGTTGAAGCCAGTTGGTGGTAGTCACCATATTGGCTGAGTCAAGTCAACTTTCAGTCAACGTACCAAGGGGCGATCCTTAAGCCTCCACACACATGACTACAGTGTGCCCAACTATCAGTTATGTCAGCGGTGCTTCCAGGCAAACCCTGATGAACCCTAACCCAGGCATCTGTGGTTTTAGGTTCTTCAATATTAGCCTTCAATTACTCTTTTAAGAGTGGGAAAAAAAATCGATACAGCATGATATCAGGATATTTTGTCTGGTGATATAACGTATCCAGTATTGACTTTATTAAATAATTGCTAATATGAAATCAATACTGGATACTGGAAAAATAGAATCAACTGTTTTTACAGTGAGGATGGCAGACGGGACATCATAGATCAGGAGAAAGTTAGTACAACAAATATAGCAGCACCTGGAGAAAGACACGGGGAATGCAAGCAGGGCACAATGAGGTGGACCTGACACATATGTGCTACATTAAAATCAAATACTGTGTAAACAAGACAAACATAAAGGAAAGGCAAATGCTAATATAGCTAAACAGTTGAAAAAAATTGTATAAAACGCAACATATGGTATCGTAATATTGCAAAATGTTCAAAAACGCAGTAATATCGTACTGTGGCCCAAATATCATGATAATATCATATTGTGGGGCCACTAGTGATTCCCACCCCTCCACTCCTTTTGGTTGTGCTTCATCATCACATGAGACAGAATTAACTAACTTAGAATCAGAACCTAGAACTGAAGGAAATTTTAAGTGGTTTCTTTTGTAGGCCTTACAAGATGGAAGCTCCTGAAGTTGCTTGTGGAGATGATTTATAGTATATAGAATAGTTTTGTTGGTGCTCCAAACTTCTGAATGAGGATCCACGAGTGCTACCAAGTAAAAAAAGCTTTTTCTGGGCCAAGCATAAGCTATTTCAAAGCTCCAACTGTAGCTTTGCAAACACCTTAGGTAGACACGTTATAGACGGAGCATTTATTGTCTTCATAGGAGCCAATGGACGGACACATTGGGGGGGGAGACGAGGCTTAGGCCTATAAATCTACCCCTCCAGTTTATTGCCCAACATTAAAGGACATGTCACCCTCCTAAATCAGCAGGCCCAGAGGAGACAGCAGGGCTAAAACCGGGAGTATTTGCATGTTCCCCACATTCCTGAGAGGTGAACATAGAGCTCGGCCACCTTCCTGCAGTTGTATCAACATCAAACTTTGAGATTACTCACTTCATGATTGATGGCATCAGTTTCCTGTTAGGACGGACCTTCCTGAAGCAAAGTGCAGCAATAAAGTCGAGGATACACGTCTGTGTTTTCTTATCCAGGTTGTGTTTTATCAGCGTTTTTTTCTTCAGATGTGTTTAAACACTGAAATCCTGCACCTGGTCAGCTGTCTCACCGGCTTTTTTACTTATTCATAGGTACAAAACAGCGTCACCTGGACAGTCTCGCAGACAGTTTAATTATTTATTTAAAAACTAGATAAGAGTGTGTAGAATTAAAGAGGAAGCCACTGAGCTTAAAATTAGCCTTTCCCAATTGTCACCTTCCTCAAAGAGAACCTGTTTCCTGAAAAAAAAGAGAAAAAAAAAAAAACGCCATTGACGTGCAATCACATTCAAACACACTCGCCTGTCAGTTTATAACTCTCCTACTCTCTCTCTCACACACACACACACACAGACCAAACGTGGTCCAACACACAAATAGACACCCACACATACACACTTTTTAAGCCCTCGCCTGGCATCAGCTGTCACACAACCTGTCTCGGAGAACTAAGCAGAGACAGACGCTGTCAACTTAGAGTGCCTCAAATGCCCACATCCAGCCAGGCAGAGGAGAAATCAAGCCTGTCTCCCAGTATAATTTGCGCTAATCCTTCATGGGAGATAGTAAAGTCTATGGCATATCTGCCTAATAGCATCAGTCAGCGGCAGGTTCTAATCTCATATTTAGACCCATTTCCATCACGGGCTGACGACAAAAGCACCAGCACAAAGTGTGATTACCTTCTTATTTTTTACATTTCTGCATGACTTGACTCCTGATAATGGTAGAAGGGGAGGAAGGAGGGGAGGGATTTTAAAAACACGAGCAGTAAAACTTTGAGGTTCTTTTCTGAGTGGAGGAAGAGGAAGATGAGCAAAGTCATTCCAGGCGACTACAGAGACAGGTAGACGGAATAAAAAAGGAGGAAAGTAAGTGGCGAACTGTATCACAGGAGAGAAAAAGTGGAGGTAAAGGGAGAGAAAACCTTTCAGTCAAGAGTCTGTGCACATTCACATTCACACGTCTACACATATACACACACACTTCTACACACTCTCTCCTTTTCAAAGCGTTTACAACCTGTGGTGTTTGTCCTGCTCGGCTGGCTGCTTTACCACGTGCATTTGAATGCCGACTGGAGTGCATCCCTCTCTTTCAGACAGCGCCATAAAAGACGGCACACACAATGAGGGCTCTTTTCAGTGGAGCGGGGGCTGCCTTTTGGGGGGGCTGGGTTGAGGGGGGGGTGGCGCAGGAGCACCTTCCAAAACCGCCACAGCACTTCAGCTCTTGGGGCACAATGAGGTGCTGAGCCTCGGTGAATAATAAGAGATTATTCAGAAAGATGACAAACACAGAAGAGAAACAAACTATACAAAGTGTTGGGGATGAAAAGTCTTTTGGTTTCGCAGCAATCCCAAAACAGAGTGTGTGTGTGTTTTTGTGTGCGGGTGTGTTTGTGTGCGTGTGAGCGTCTTCAAGAGTGACCTGGCCCAAAAGAGGGAGACAAAAAGGAAAAAGGAGGTGGTTTGGGGATCCTAATGAAGCCGTAAATCAGAGTCCGATGAGAACAGACTCTGGAGGAGGATCACATCACTGGAGATCAATGCAGACAGCGACACGCACACACACACACACCCACACACACACAAACACACACAAACACAAGAATAAAGACGAGAAACACTCAGACACATGCCACAATTCCCGTGAGAGGCCGACTTACTGAGGTACAAGCACGTACATGAGCATAAACACACAGCAAAGTGACACACACTCTCATCTACAATCTATTAAACTTCCTCCATCCTGCTCCCCCCACCCTACCTCCCCACCCAGAACCCACCCATGGGCTCAGGAGTCCCACCTCCTTGTTCAATCCGGCTCGTCTGAATAATATCAGCCGTGATGAATGGCGCCATAACTCTGATATCCACAATCAATCTCTGCTTTAAAGACACATCCATCTTCTGTAATGCTGATGCTGGTGGTGGGAGGGGTTGGGGGTGCTCGCCTGACCTCCTAGCGCGAGTGCGAGGTGGGGTGTGGGGATGGAGGGGCTCGAGGGTGCCGATGGAGAGAGAGGGCGGCTTGAAGGGGGGGGAGCAAACTGAGTGATGTCTGTCAGCTCACATCTGGCTGCAAAAAATAAATGAGGCTTATGAAGATGAATGAAAAGAGGCTCACACACACACACACACACACAAGGAGGTGAAAAGACAAAGACAGGAGAGGAAGAGGCTGAACAGCAGAGGGGGAGACGAGATAGAGGACGCTCATTGATGTAATCATGTAACAGGGATAACGCCGAGCTTCCCCACATCTCAAAGCTACTTTTCTCGCTCTTGATCTCCTTATAAACACAGAAGTTGTTGAATACACATGTGGATTTAGCATCAACACAAGCTTAGATGCCAAAATATCCTTTAAAAGAGTAGCAAAACTGTGCAAATATCACAGTCTTGTTTTCTTCCAGATTTATAACAGCATTAGTAAAAAGCTCATCCTCTTCAAATCCCTTTTTTTTTTTTGCAGCACATAAAAGGCAAGATGGATGTCAAAATGGCCACTGTGTGACTGAACTCTCATACCTATGAGTGTGGGTGTAGGGGAAAGGGGGCTGGGTAGTATTTAGCGAGCTGAGAGTGAACTATCCCTGACCTGTTAGCAGGGTCACCCCTCAGTGACACCGCCACTGAATATTCCTCTTAATGATGTACCACGTCTTTTAACCCCCGCGGACAAAGCAAGGAAACATTATACTATCAGGAGGTTCCCCCACTACCTCGCTCCTTCTCTACTCCCCCTCAGTCACTCTCTCGCTCTCTCTGTCTGCTTACACTGAGTTGGATCTTTAATTATTAAACAGAGAATTCCACCCAAAGTTTTTCTGCTGCTTCTCATTCTGTCTGATCTGCACTTACCTGGTGGGTCTCAGTGTGTTAAGTAGATGTTTTACTCTGTTTAGTAAATTTCATATATTTGAAATCCCTGGCATGTACGAAAACTTTGCTTCTTTGCACAAAGTATATTGACATCAATTATAATTTTTGACACATTCAAATAGAGATTCAAATCACTTTCAATCACATCTTTTAGTTTTGGAAAAATTCCTTTAGATTTAAAGCTCATGTGAGGAGTTTTTAACTGTTTATGAAACGTCCTAAATGAACTTTCATAGCAAACCAAACCATTCACGACAACACAGTCTGTTTACACATTAGGAGTGTGTGTGTTAAACTGACTAAACATCTTACTTAAGGTGACAGTGTTCTGAATCCCCAAAAAGAGGACACTGCTATGCTGGGCGGAGTCACACGCAAAATTTTGAGGGTTTTTCAGGTCGGGTTGAGAGTTTTTTACGTGCTCCTAACTTCGTGAGTCCACACTACAACATTTGAAGGGTTTTATAAACTCCCCCGGAAAAGGCCGAACAGCCCCCCAAAAAGAGATGGTCACCCTATCTTACTGTTGCACCTTGTAGCGCAAACTGGTAGAAGTTTGATCAAGAGAGGGTGAGTTTGTGTGCAGGCTGCGTCTGGTCAAGCTTGCATAAAACCACTCCACCAGAGTAACGCATATCCTGCACAGGCATGTGGATATTAACCAGCAAGTAAACCAAAGGCTGGTGGTGCTAGCTCTGCTAATGTTAGCCACTCTGGGTAAACCCATTTGAAATTGTTTGCTCACTGTGTTGTGTAAATCTTAATCTGACTGAGTGTTTATAATCTGCAGACCAGTCAAATGGTTGAAAATCTAATTCCTGTTTAAAACCACTGGGAGATGAGTCACTCTGGAAAATGTCCTACTCCATTAAGACATTTTTTATTGTCCGAAACTGATGCCTCAGGATAGAGGTCAGTCAAACCAATACGCAGGAAATTTCCAAAATAGCCGTTTTACATTTTCTGAGAAGTGACACATTTGACCAGTAAAAACAGCAGGGTAAGATTATTTTGTGGGAAACCAGCAGAGACAGGACCAAATCAACAGAGATAAGAGGTTCTTCTTTGTCGTTAGTTAAGATGAAATTCCCACAGAGAGAAATATCTGATATTTGACTCAATGTGATAGTATTTCCTTGAGTATCCTCGTCTTTTATACCCTATTATACTATTTTATTTTAGATGTATTTTTAAAGACAATGTATTTAAAACAAAATAGTTCGAGGTGAGGAGACACAGGCTTTTTCCTGCGACCAATCGCACGTAAAGACTCAAATTACAGTGTTACCGCTAATGCCTCTCTCAACGTCTGATTTCAACATGGTAAAGGGAGGGTCTGGAGCGCAGGTGAGATAGTTTATTGATTCTGGAAGTGGCTGCGATGGAGTTAACCCTCGCTGTGGCTGATGATGGGGGTGGATGAGGGGTTGGGATGAAAGGTGAGCCGATGATGGATGAGAGGAAGCTGGAGATGGAGTGCACGCGGTGAGGTAAGACGTTAACACAGAAAGTTGTGGATAGGCATGCCATGACTAGACTGACACAGCTTGCTATTGTAACTGACACGTCGGTTACAACAGGCGTCCTTATGTACAAGCTGTTCTGCAGCGTAATGCGTTCTTAAATGGGCCCTGAGCGTTCAGTGCTGTGACCCCGCAGACCCCCGACTGTAGGCCCGAAAGCTGTAATCTCTCCGTCAAACAAGTCTTCAGTAGCAGGTATGGAGTATGTGTGTGTGACCGTATAAATGTTTCCAGGCCACTCGGACATGAAATGAATGACAGCATAGTAAGTAAAGCATGTTATGGGGTAGAAGTTAGCAGCTATGTGATAACAAGGCCAAAGGAACAGCAGGGAAATACTGTTTTTTAGCCACATCAACAACATCACAACCAAACTTTTTACAGTGAAGCAAAAGGGAAACTTTAAAAGTCTAAATTGCAAGATTAAGAGACTGAACTGAAAACGGTTCTGTACATAAGGGTCCAAAATTTAAGTAACATTCTTGTTTGACAATTTTATGAATGGCTACATGTTGTTGATCTGTTTGCTTGTAGCTAGTTTGAACGCTTCCAAACGTAATTTATTCCTGTCGTTTTTCTTCAAAGTTGGTCTGACATTGGCTTTAAGGTATAGAAAGTACCTGCGCTCAAAGTGCCAGCCATGAAGATTAACAAACACACAAACGCACGCACACACATTCAGGTAGGTGTGTGTAAGTACAGCAAAGACAGAAAACATTACAGGGCCCTTTTTTTTGGCACCAGGCAAAGTGAGCAGGGAGGGTGGAGGTAGTCGGCGGCGGCGGCGAGGGGGGGGTGAAGAGGAGAGAAAACGAGGAGGAGAGTGAACGGCGGGGGCGGGCTGAGGGAGTAGTAGATGAGGGAGGGAGAAAGGGAGGGAAGGGAAGAAGGGAGGGAGGGAGGGTTGAGCGTTGGAATGAACTCTCTCAGGCTTTGTGGTGCACGTTTCCCAAGGCCCCCGCCTGGCCCCTTTGATAAATGACACATGTCATTCTGTCAGCTTGTGACACTGCAGCTGGGAGGCCCTGTGATGTATGGCTCTGCTGAAAAAGGAAATCAACTTTTTTCCCTTCTCTCTCTCCCTCTCTCCCTGCCTGTTTCTGTCCCCCTCTCTCTTCCACCCTCCCTCCCTCCCTCCCTCGGCCTGGGCTGAGTGCACGGCCTTTTTATATGAGGATTTAGGTTTCCTCTGGTCCAGTAAGTCCCCCCCCCCTCCTCCTCCTCCTCCTTAGACAGGCATGCATGCAGCCAGGTTGCGGCTGGTTTGTTCTCTAGCACACACTCACACACACTCACTGTGACGCAGCTATTATGATCGTGTACAAAGCCGTAACCCGAGGAAAAGGGGGCAACGCCACATAGGAGGTGGATCCAGGATTTATGGCAAAATGCCGAGGAAGTAAACAAAGTGTGCACTTTTTAGTAGGCAAAGGAGGGGGGCAGGTGGAGATTGGGGGGTTAGATTCCGGTTGGGCAGGATGGCTGGTGTCTCCCACTGGGTCATCTGTCATCCATGTGTCTGAGTGCAGGACAAGCACACACAGCTCTGGAAACATTGTGCACACACATTTGCTCCCAAAGGGAACTGGGATGAACCAAGAACGCACACACACACACACTCACTCACACTTACATACTCACTCTCAGAGTTACTGTATAGATGCAAGCAGATAAGTCTCCACACTCACAAAGATATTTCAGAGCAAATACCCGCACTATCAATCTTCAAATGTTTGAAAAAAAATGAAAACAAAGACGCGATGAGATTTTATTTCACAGGGCAAATGAGTCCAGCCAATGAGCTGCTCCCAAAAGGCCTGCCCTAACCCTCCCTTCCTGGCAGATTAGCCTATCACGGCATCCCATTGACCTCTCCACTCCATGCGCCGCCCACGCAATGGGTGAGCCAGCATGAAGAAGACCAATCTCCTTTTTTTTTTCTCAAGCACACACACTTTCTTATTCTCTCTCTACGATCATATCCTGATTCTTTTACTTCCTCGCTCTACCTCTTTCTTTCCCATCTCTCTCTCTCTCTCTCCCATTACACCCCTCCTCCCTCTCGTTCCTCTCTCAACGGCTGACCTGTTATCAGCACTCTGGAGATTTAACAGCCAAAAAAAAAAAAAAAGCGGAGTGTGAGTCAGGCGTGACGGAGGGACGTTTCCCAGTGTCGCCTCTCAATCTTCATGTGATCTCACACACACACACACTCGCACACGCTGATATTCGCCCTCCAGCAGAAGACAAACACATTGATTTGGAATCACGCAAACGTCCAAACATCATCACTGACGGTTACACAGCCGGCTTTGGTAAAATGATGACGAGGTGATGGATGGATGTGGTACAAAATCACAGAAATGAGGATCAGGATTCAGGCCATTCAGCTGGGCTTCACACACACACTCACTCACACACACACACATGCACACACACTAATGAGTAAGAGTTCACCATGTGTTGCTATGGGGACCAGGGCTACTTTGACTAAAGGCGAGCAAAAGAGCGAGAGACACAGAAAGACACAGGGAGGAGAGAGGGAAGAAAGAAGGAGAAGTTGGTAAGGATCCAAGAAACAAAGGAGGAATAAAAGGAGTAGTTCAGAGAAAAATAAAATACATCCAATTAGAAATATACATCTGAATAGTCAAACGCCGGCAAAAATAATACATCTTACTGGTTACAATCTGATGCTTTTACCGTGAAAAGTAACTATGAACAGTTCAAGTGAAGAGGTTGATTAAATTAGATTTTTTTTTTCTCTTTGTTTTTTTGTGAATTTTCCCCAGAAATGGTCTAAAACTCTGACACGATCATGCCAGACCATCATCTGATGATGATGTGTGATCAGTCTGTCACATCAGAGCACCAAAGGACAACACCGTGGACATGCGTATCGAGCGTCTTCATGAGGTAGCAGTCATTTTAAAGAGCGCTCTCTCAACGAAGTAGCGAATTATAAAAATGTATCCAGAATGACGTATTTATTCACCCCTGTGCCGCAGTGTAATGATTAAGTAAAGCCTGGTTTCCTTGTGAACATGCAGCTTAACTTAACAATACGAAGTAGCTGTAAACAAGCAGTTTGTCAGCGCATGTGCCATACATAGAGACAAAGATTGAGATAATGACGTCAGCGTTTGCCAAAACTTTTCTTTTTTTATGTCGACATGAATGCATAAAAAACAGATCTGGAAAAATCTCCACTTAGAAAAAGCTTGTCCGTCAGAGTAAAACATAAATGTTGACAGTGCCTCAGGTAAGCTCTTTTAACTGTGTTTTTATAAATGCCACATTTCTGTTTGATTAAACGACAAACCACATTTTTAGATTCAATATTATTATCGCTGCTATTATTATTGGATTATTGGCTTACAGCATATTTCTGTTTCAAACAGAGTATTTCCGTTTGATACAGAAAATACTTTGCTTTTTTGGTGGCATGAAAATTATTCAAATTAACACCATACAGAATTATAAATGTCAGTTTTCTGCAGCTTCAAGCACCCAAATATTGATACGCACTTTAAAAAGCTTTTAACTGTTTGAGGTTAAAGTCAGCTGAGGGAAACAGAGAGAGAGAGAGAGAGAGAAACAGAGAGAGAGAAAAAACAAAAACATGCTGAGAAGTGCTGCAGTCGTCTACACTGAGACCACCTGGGGGTCACGACCTGCCTACGACCTCTTCAGATGTGCACTCCGGCCCAAGGTGGGGGGGGGGGGTTGCATGTGTGCATGAGAGGGTTTGGGTGGGGGTGAGAAAACAAGGCATCATTAGGGCTGAGTGATGAGTGGTGGCCATGTCTGACGACGACTGCAGGGTACAGCTCGGCCACAGGAGCGACAGTGCATTTATAAATGCCAGAAGGCCTTCACAACGCCGGCAACAGCAGCAGCAGCAGTGCAACAACTGTGTTTGTGTGTGAGTGAATGTGTGTGTGTGTGGTTGGAGAAAGGGGGATGTTAAAACACCACCAGTATGAGCTGCCCCCCCTGTTAACAAGCTGCCTCTGTGACCCACAGGATATTGCTATACACATGTGGACAACAAACATATTGAAAACACACCACGCCGCTGCCACTGGAGGAGCGCTCCTCCTGCTAATGTCCGTCCACATGAAGAGAGTAGCCACTGTAGCCATTTTGTTTTTGTTTAGTCTCCTTTCTGCCCAAAGTTTGGTTTGAGCGGTTTGATTTTCTCTTTTAATCACAGCTGGAGGAGAGGAAGAGGGAGGCATGAGGAAATGAAGGAAGCGATATGACAAGAGGGGCAGTGTGCAGAGGCAGGATCCCTGGGAGCGTATACGTATGTGTGTGTGTACGTGTGCAAGAAGGCGGCAGTGTTGGACTCCAAGGTCAGCCGATAAACACCACATTCACGAGTCAAGAGCGGAGGAAGGTGGAGAGAACCTACAAACTCCTGTTTTTCAACCAAGTCATCCAATCCGAGCGGAGCATTCGCCTCAATTAATCACTGGGATTGTTACACCATGGTAATACCAAAAACAATCTCCATGATCACACGCACAAACAAAATCTCAAATTGCTATCATCCATCTCACCTGCCCCTGTTAAAACACAGAGGAGGAGGAGGAGGAGGAGGAGGAGGGGGGCTGGGTGAAGCATTCACTCCCTCTCTGTTCCAAAGGCCTGGCCACTGAGATGATGGTGAAAAATTAACGGCAGGCAGCCAAACAAGTAAAGGCGCCAGGGCGAGGGGATCAATGCACGGCATCAACAGCGGGAGCAGCTATGTAAAACACTTGCCTTAAGTCAGCCGCATCCGGTTAATATTTAATCCCTCCATCCATCTCCACAAAGAGCATTTCCCTTTTAGCTTTAGCTGCCGTTTACTTTGATTACACACAACCGTTTGGGGTAGCTGGGGTGTGGTGTGGTGGCGTGGTAGTGGTGGAGGGGGCAAAGCAGGAATGATAAGAGAGCATGGTGGGTGATTTGCATGGGGATGGAAAATATTCTCAGGTTTGATAATCGCTCGGAGCAGTCTAGTGCCAGTGTGAGACAGAGAGAGGAGAGGAGGTAGGCCTAAAGAAAGAATTAAATAAAAAGAGAAAGGGAGAGAGGTTGAGGCATATTCCATAAAAAAAAAAAAAGGTGAAGCTCCGAAAAAAACACAAACTGAATTTCACTCCAAGGGCTTGCCTTATTTAAAACAAGAGATATGCAAATAAAGCAGGAGTAGCGAAATAACACTGATATTATCTTCCTCGGTTATTTTCTGTGGCAAATGATTTCTAGGGAGGAAATCCAAAACTGTAACTCCCAAGTGAACATGCAAATCCATGTGTGTATTCCTGGGGAGCCGTCTGCGCTCACTCTCATGTTGCTTTTTCACGTTGCTGTTTTTGCTTCCTGCTTCCACCGATTGAAGCTTCTCATGTTTATTCTGCGCCGGCAATGAAAACTGCATTTATTACAGGCGCCAAGTAATAACTAGACGATGAGAACAGTGTGACTCACGAGCGTAAAATAACTTTAAAATTCAAACAACATATGTGTATATAGGGGTAAATTATAGGGTATATGATTACGAATACAGGTATGTGAACTTTGTGTCAGGCGCAACTTCTGCCAGAAAAATCCCACTTTTATACACGTAATACTGTCTATCACACTTAGACGATTAGACCGCATGGCTCTGCAGTGATTTATGTTTAAAATGAATGACATAAAACAAACGCACAAACACACACACGTTGATTTCCTTTTCTTTATCATAAAGCGAGAAACCTTCCCTCCCCAAAAACATGTGTTTTTCAGCCAGCGGGGTTTACAAGTGGGGAGTCTCGGAGATGGGCAATGGCAACTGTTCATTTTCTCACTCATTGACCTCGACTCCCTACTTTACAATGTGGAGTAAAAGCAGCCCTGTGTCAGCCAACAAGGCGAGCAGCAGAGGGTCAAGAGATCTGGGTTAGTCCGCAGCCCCGCTCTGCTAAAGGTGAACACGCCACTCACTGTTTGCACAACTGCAACCCCAGACACGCACACAGACCAGGGAAGTACGAGAGGGTAATATCTAACAACAAAAAAGATGTAAAAGCTTATTTTAACCTTTTATTTTGAAATGTTTAAAACTGACTGTCCACAAGCTAGATATAATCTGATAGAAGAGTCTTACTTAAGCCATTGCATAATTCTAGGACTGCTGAGTTCAAACCAAAGATCCAAGTTAAACCTGCCACAAAAATATAAAAGTGGATCTCCGCCTCTCCTTTACCCTTCGATCTACCTACAAACGCAGCACCACGATCTGTAAATTGACCAGCGAGCATCTGCCGCTGGCTGCCGTTTCAAAGCAGGAGAAGAGAACCTGGGCTGCAGGGCCTGTGACAACACTGACAAGGGTAAAGTGTTATTTCGCTCACACGCCGACAGCTGGACAAGGGGGTGGGAGTGTTGGCGGGTGGGTAGTTGGGTGGGTTGGTGGGTGAGTGGTGGGGTGCTCGGCCGGCCGGGCAGTAATTCTTAATTGACACCTGTCAGGATAATGGCGGCAGTCGCAGCTGTTGCGGCAGAATTTGTCCATCGTCCTGTTCATCTGTCAGCTCTAATACCCGTCCTAAAAGCTCCCCCCTACCACCCTCCAACAGCGTCCCACCACCCCTCAACTTGCCATGCATCCACCCACTGACACCCGCAACTATTGACGCCTCCTTCTTTGAAGCTTCTGATAAACTTGATGCCGACTGTAATCATTGAACGTTGACTCTTTCCGTGAGTGTTAAATAACTGGACTGACTGTGAAACAGACATATTTTGTTTAGTTTTGTTTCATATTCAAACGGCACTTCAATGATTAAGTATTTGGCAAGAAGGAAGGCTGCTTTAAAAGGGTTTATTTCCTCCATCATTTGCTTCTTTTTCAGCTTTTCCTTTTCCCTCCAATGAACTCCACCTAACTTTTTCTGATGAGGTACAACCGACAGACAGAGGAGGAAAAAATAAAAGCACAGTTTTAAGAGAAAAAGTACTTTTTCAAACCGTTTTTCATTCACCCTCCTCCAGCAGCAGCACTCCTCTCTCTTTTCTCTTTGCTTTTGAGTGGCAAAGAGCGAGTATTTACCCAGAAGAGAGAGGGGGATGTGAGATGAGAAACACGCTGAAGAGGGGAAAAGAGCAAGAAATAAAGGGAGAGGGAGTGCCGAGAAACGAGAGGAGAGATGAGAGGTACGTTAAAGAGACGAGAAGAGAGAGGGGGAGGAATGAGAGGAGGAAGAGATGGAGGAGAGAGAGGAGGAGAGCGCTGGGGTTGGGTGTCCCTGGATAGGGCTTTTGCTCTTCTGTAGTGGGCCCATCTCGTTTGTCTTGTTTGTTTGTTGGCATCAAAGCGCTGCCTCTCACTCCCCGTGCTAACTGATGTAATGAGTGGGTAAGCTACATGTTTTTTTTTTTTTTTTCCCCCTGCGCTGAGGAATTCAAATACTTATTAGACAAAATATTCCGTAATTGCTCATCTTTTATTGATAGAAGTAACATGTTAAATTTGGCTCCAGCAGACTTTCCCATAGCCTCTCGAGGAGGCACCGCGCTGATCAAGAGAGCAAATTTACCCTCGGCAAATGTAATACTTTACTTAAGAAAATTTAAGATGTCAATTTTTGTGCCTCAAATGTTGCACGACTACTTCTCTTGAACGCTTCCCCTCTTATCTTTCTCATGTCTCAAATTATGTTGCTGAAGTTTTAAAAGCAAAAAGGAAAAACACACACACACACACACACACACACACACACACACACACACACACACACACACACACAACATATGAACAAGTTTCCATTAATGAGCTCAAAAGCCTTACACCCCCACTGTGGAGCCGCTACAAAATGTAATTACTCAGCACAACCCAAATATTACATAGTAATTAAGCACACTTAACAAAGAGCTGATAACAGACACAGCATGCCGTTTATCAAAGCTTTGAGTCCAGGCTGAAGTAAAAAAAAAAAAAATCGAGTTTGTTATGCTGCTGCAACATTGAAAAATGAGAACAAAAATTCTTTATTTGGGGGGAAATTGTTTTTCTATGGCAGTCAGGAGTAAGACTGCTTGTCAGCCCAGTCCCAGAGGGCTGCTTTCTATCTGTTTCAGACTTGATTTTCTCAGACTAAGATTTTTTTCTCCCTCTCTCTTTTGGATCCCATGACTTGCTGCTGTTTTTATGTGCTGCGAGGCAGGCAACAAAGCACATCTGGCTGCTTTAATGATATGATTTCCCATCATACTAAGCCACCTCCATTATGACCTCCCACAGAGACATGCTGGCTGCACTTAAGCATTAGGTGTAGGTGTGTGTGTGTGTGTGTGTGTGTCTGTCAGTCAGTCTGACTGTCTGTGTTTATGGCTGATGGTGTGTGTGTGTGTGTGTGTGTGTGTGTGTGTGTGTGTGTGTGTGTGTGTGTGTATGGAGGGTAACACACTGCCAGTGATGGTAGCAGCGTGCCCTGAGGGCAGCTTTTGTTGAGAATGCCCCGGAAAGAATCAGAAAGAAAGAGAGAGGAAAAAGAAGAGGAGGGGTATTACTGCTGTGCTGTGAAATATATCCTTATCTGTGGGAACAGGAAAAGCTTAACACATGCAGCTTAAACCTTGCTAATACCTTATATTTGATTATATTATGCATTCACTGATAATCAATATTTTAAAAAGCCTTTATGCTGATCTTCAAACTGTTTTCTCAAAGGGAATGTAGGAATTTTCTGTGTGCAAAAAAAAACAAAAAAAAAACATGGCTAATAGACGTAGCTAATTCAGACGACCGAGAAGCTAATACCACACACACAGACGCACACAGGCGCAGACATGGGGGCACTTGTAGTGACTCCAGGCATTAGAAGAGCGAGCTGAGCATGTTTGACCTTTGACTGCTTCAAATCCCCGATGTAAATTTAACTAATAGTTTCAGAGGGTGGCGCAGGAGCAAAAGTGGCTATCGACGAGGTCGATCGATGCCACCTGCTAACGACACCACCGCTCCAATTAGCGTAACCTCTAGCCGAGTCCCACCACCATAAACACACACACACGCTAAAGGGAATGCCCAGGAAACATGGAGCTAAACCAAGGGAGAGGGGATAAAAACAGGCTGCTGGGATCAATACGAGCTCCTGCTCAGTCTGTTGTCTCTTGTTTAGTTTGGAAATAGTGAGCAGATATGACAGTCAGAGGTGAGAAATATATGCAGCGGCTGTTGGAGGTTGTTTTCGTGCTTCTGTGGGGGGGTGGGGGTCTGAAGGCAGACTTTGCTAAAGAGGATGACTAACGCGGTGTGGTACCGTTACACCCGTTCAAGTTATTCATTCCAGGAAAACTAACACCGGCCAGCGCTAAGCTACAAACACACACATGCTCTCTACGCCTCTGCCTCACTCTTTCAAACACACCAGAACTACACACAGACACACACTTTTTCATCAGTTTCTGACATTAACTTTTCATTTCTCTAAAGCTAAGCAGCCTTAAAGCTATCCAAAGTTGTAAACAGCTCTAACTTTCAGGCCAAAGACACACCAGTTCCTTTGCAGCGAATAACTTTTTATCAGAAAAGAAACAAACAAGACCGTTCTAATTCTCGAGAAGGAGTGGGGTATTCAAATTCGCCAGCATTCAAAGAGAGAAAAACAACACACACCTAGAGGCTAAACACTCCTCAGGACGGTGTGCAGACAGAAGGGTAGGGGGCCACATAAATCTCAGCATGCTGATTATTTCGAGGGGAGAATATCACATAACAGTATCGTCAAGTAAGAGCACAAAGGTCGCTGTGTAATCTTAGCTACCCCGGGCATGCAAAATCATTAATCCCTGGGCACTGTGATTCTCCAGCTCGGAATAAACCGGAGGCCTTCACCCAGGCGGCTGCAGAAGAAGCAGCAGCAGCACTGAGAAGGGAGGACATTCAAGAATAGTACGTGGAGAGTGTGTTATGATGGGCTGGAGATTTACTAGCAGAGCTGCAACACATGCTGAAGTGTTAAGACGTCCACTGGTTGTACATGTTTTTGAAAACTGTTGCTGGGATCGCTTTAGAGAGCTCATCTTTCAAGTCAGAGCAAACTCGAGCTATATCAGTTTTATTTAAAGAATAAAAAAAAAAGGACAGTTTTTTTTTTTTTTTGCGACTGTTAACGAGAGTGAAAAAAAAAAAGGAACTTGAAGGAAACGCAGCTACGCTTTGACAAAATTAGACTGTTTAATTGAACAGATTCAAAGTGAAAACAAAGTGAGGAAAATAAGGAGAGAACCCGAGGGAATGGTGGTGAGGTGCTGTAGCTGGTCCAGCCTGCTTATTACAAGGTTATAAGGGTGGATGTGGTGGGGGTGGCGAGAACGGGGGGGGGGGCTCACCGAGGTCATTAACTGGCATTGTCTCCTGACGTGATTAGTCAGGTAGCAAAGTCCATTTGTCACCTGCACAGGCAAATTGAGTTGGTGCTGCACTAGGGGCTATGGGGACTGTATAATATCAACTTGATTACATCAAGGCAGCTGCGGACTTGACACCTTACTGAATTTGTCAGCATTAATCGTTAGGGCCTGTCACAAATCCATCAGCTCCACAGATAATTAGGGCTCTCTCTAATGAAGCCAACGGGAAGCAACCTTACCCCCACCACCCTCACCTATACCCACACCCACACCCACACCCACACACACACACACACACACGTACACACTGTCTGTCTCATAATTAACCATAGATATAAGAGCCACTATCTTATCTGCTTCTCCTCGAGTAAGACTATCTAAGCCTGCCTGGGATGAAAGACAGCGTCACTCCGTCCTGACTTTTAATTGTTCCTGCCTTCCCTGCAGTCCCCCCGCCCCCAGTTTTAAAACGAGTGATGAGGTGAGGCTACAAGTGTAATAACACACACACACACACTGACACGCACACACACAGAAGCATGCATTTGGGCACAATAAATTCAAGGTAATAGAGGACAAGTAGGAATACAGATGTGTTGCCTTCACACACTTTCGGATTTAGGTTTTCACGTTTTTTTTTGCTATTTACGAGAAGTGAAAAAAAGAACTTTAAAAGTGTGACATGTTGGATAAAAAGTGTTCTGCCATCTCAAAATCATACATAACCCCGCACACACATTTTAAAATAATACTTTCTCAAATAGAATTTAGTGCTTGGGCGAAAAATTATTTTTTTTGTTACGTCAAAAACAATTTTCCAGAAAATTTTAACATTTATAATGAGCAAAAAATAAATAAAAAAACAGCTATTTAAAATCGGTTTGAGACATCTAATAATGAGCTGCAAAAATAGTGAAAAAAATAATCTGTAAAATTTTAACTACTCATTTTAAAACTACCCAACTTTGACTGTAGCTCTTACCAGGGTTGTGGGTTATTCTGTGCAGATCTGGCCTTCAAGCAAACATTACGTCATCGAAAATATTATTCTAAAAGGTAGGGGGAAATAATGAAAGAGAAACCTGTCGAGACAAGTCTGCTTTTGTTGTTTTAATTGTCTGAGCTCTGATTTCCATGCACAGTCACACCATGAGCAATTTCCTCTGTGAGCAGCAGCAGCAGCAGCAGTAGAGTGAGGAAGCCACAGGTCAGTACCAGCTCCCAGTGGAGCATCAGGCTAGCCTAGCGTGCGTTTGTGTGTGTGTGTGTCTGTGTATGTGAGGGTGTGTATTAGTTATTTGCTGCTGTTGGGAGTGTGTAGCGGAGGGCGTTATCTCTGACCGACTGTCATGTTCATGGAAGAATGGAAAGCATCCCGACTGCCAAGCTGTGATTGACCATTACAAGCCATGATGTGCATGGCACTCAGTGGACAATGTAACGGATCAATGGTGTGTGTGTTTGTGTGTGTGAATAAGTGTGTGTGTGTGTGTGTGTGTGTGTGTGTGGGAGAGAAGAGTGTGTTGTTAAAAAAAAAAAAAGAGGGAGGGGAGGGAGGGTCACAGAGATGTCATGTTTTCATGCCTCCATCTACATGCAGGAACCTAAGCGGAGTCACTCTGCTCGAACCGAGGCTGACCTTTTCCATGGGGCTATTTCGCCTAAACAGCAACAAATGACACACACGCTTACTCACACGCACACACATACACACGTTTGAAAAAGTAAAGTTAGGCTCAGTATCTAAATCTGAATCCTTTCTGAGGAGTGTGGGCCCAAAAATTGCGCTTGAAGTACTTTTCTAGAAAGAGGGGAAAAAAGAAAATCAGAAGTCGAAAGCGAGCACCGGTTGAATGTTCTCCATCCTACTCTCCTTCTCATCCTCCTCCTCATCCTCATCACCACCACCATCATCACCAGCAGCTCCCCGCTTTCAATGATAAAAACCTGCTGAGTTCAAAGTCTTCGACGGCTGGCCCTCCTGTTCGACCCGCTTTGCACCTCATATTTCAGAATCTCTTTAAAATTCTGTTACTGTCTTTTGTTCGCTGCAGTTGTTAATGCCTAACTTCAAAGGCTCGGCCTCATTAGCACAGAGGTAGAAACCCCTGTCACTCATTTACATTTGTTTAAAGGCTGCAGGGAGACGAGAGAGGAAAAAAGGGGGAGTCCAAATCCAAACCACTAGAAGTCAACCTTGTCGGTCGTCTGCCAAGACCTGGTTTTATCAGTTGGTCACATTGCAAATATAATACTCCCCTCCAGCAGTGGATATTGATTTCATTACTGGGCTGATTCTTACAGTGAATGTGGGGAGAATTTGGATGGGAAAGTGCGAGAAAACCTCAGCGTTTCTCTCCACGAAGAAAAGGCAGAGCAGTGGAATCAAACACCTGATTAAAAGAGTGTTTGGGTACATTTCCCCTCTGATCTATTCAACATACACACATCCTTTCATCTGCTTTTAGTACCTCCCCTTTAAATAAAAGGAGGTGATTTTCTGCCATAAATTACAACTTTCTTTTTTTTGCTTTTTTGCTTCCTGGTTGAAACAACAGGAGGGTTGTGTGTTTGAGTTGTTCAAACCTCGCAGAGGCATGCCTGTCTTCATGGAAGGATTTATTGATGTTTATCAGGGATGAATAGATCAAAGACTGCCACATGACAGGCGATCAATCACGCATCAAATCAAGGATGGCAATCCTCTAATAAAACTGAAAGAAAGGGAAAAACCGGCTCTCACCAGTTTTCTCCCCCTTTTTTCCCAGTCAATTATTCATCATTACTCACTCTTGAACCTCAAAAGCTCTCTTTTATCCCCCATAACATGCCATTTAGTTTATCTCACCAATCTTAAGAGAACTTTCCTGGCAAAGGAGGATTTACAAAAAAAAAAAGAAATCTCCAAGTGGCATTGCGCAGATATGTGCGTCATTTGCGCAATTAACTCACATTTTAAACTCAAGCGTGGGTCAGAGGTTGAGCTGCGCGCTGCGTTAATAACACAACAATTTAAATTAGAATAACAGAGTTGTAAAATAAATCTCAGCATGCAGGAAAACTTAAGCCTGTGAAAGAAAGGATGATATTTTCATTTGGCACTGGGCAGAAAAACTACTTGGCTACTAGGATGGGAAATGGTCGCTATGAAGGGGCGGGTTATACCTGCTGATCGCCGCGGCTCTTGCTGCTTTCTCCTCGGCATAGTGACCGTCACTTTCCACGGTGCTTCTCATGCAGGAATTAGAGCAAATCAAAGTCTAACAGTTTGGAAAAATCATCCCGTTTTATCGGGGGACGGAGGTTTCGAAGTCAAAGCTGAAAAATGTCCTCTTTTTTAAAGTGGCTGCTCTTTTTTGGACTTAATGGCTGGATCGGCTTCGACAGTGAGCAGGAAAAATTACGAAAGGATTCGGCCAGCTCCTGACACCTCCGTGTCCATCAAAGATCATCTTCCTTCATGTCTCCCATGGCAGGGTGAAAAAAATAAGAAGTAGCAGCAAGAAAGCACCCAAGTTTTCAGTTCACTCCCCCCTGGAAAAAAAAAATCTTTCTAATCTCCAGTGCTGTTCGTAGGGGGACGAGACTTTGCTGCGCCTTTTACGCACACCAAAACTAAAAAATAAATAAACTCTAGCGGTGAGCAAACAAATAAGTCCCGTGTGAGTGCAGCGCACTGCTCTAATAGGTAATGTATCCTCGTGTTTCCTTCTCTTCTTCGTTTGCCAGAGACCTGAAAGAGAGAAAGGGGAGAGGGGAGAACAGATAGACAGGCATTAGATGGGTTAATGTCAGTCCCGTCACCACCACGCCACCTCAGCCCGGATCCAGCCTCACCAGTCCGGCGGAGACTTTTTCCTCCCTCCCCTCCTTCCCTCTGTCTCTCCCATTGAAAAAATAAACAGGACGAGCAGGCTTTCTTTCTTTACTTACGTTTTAAGTGTCGTGGAAATAATTCCCACCGCTCATCTCATCGCATCTTGGACGGAGTCGTTTCTCTCTTTTTTTTTTTTTTTTTTTTTTTTTTTTTTTTGGAGGGGTGGTTGATGCGGTGGAGAGGATATCACTTGAGAGAGAGGGGAAACAAACAAGACGCAGGCGCATCCAAGCTTCGCTAACAACAGATCAGGTCGACGTGGATTCAAATATTTGTCTCTTTAAATGGGCTAAAAGAGAGAGGAAAAAACTCCAGGGACTGATTCGAGAGCTCCCCAAAAAAGAAAAAATGGAAACGCGGTGGATCCAGAAGCTGTTTCAGACAGTCTCAACTGATAGACAGACGCATCGAGTGGCTTTTCCTGCTACATTTTTACTCCTCCCCTCTCCACAAGCGTCACCCCTGACAGAGGAGCCTACCTGTCAATCTTTTTAATTGTCTTGTTTTCCCCCCTCTCTCTCTCTCCCTCTCTCCTTCTCTCTCTCCTTCTCTCTTTGCTTTAAAAAAATCCCAAACCCCGACAAAAGAAATGATTCTCTTGGAACTAAAAATCAAACTTATATGAGCATGTATCTCACACCACACAAAAAAGAAAAAGTACTGATCAAGTAGTAGTTTGTTACAACTCAGATGTCAGGTTTAGGTTATTCCAGCGTGGCTCTGTCAGAGCACGAGGTGGTGGAGGTTCGGCTCCCACTGGGGGTGGGACGAGGGTGCAATGATCCAATATAGCAGCTCTTACATGACTTACGATAGATGTTTCCAGAAAATGACAGACAGGTGAAGATGGATGATAACAGTGCGGAGTGAAACATGGAGAATTGAGTGTTGGTGCACGCTTTGGTTACAGGTGTACATGTGGACAAGACACTAGGCGTTTCGGCTGCAGCCCTCCAAAATAAAACGCCAAACTGAACAAACGCGCGATTACAAAAAAAACACGTGCTGTGACTTTAACCTGAATTTATCTCGCTGTTTAGAAAAGGTTGGTGGTGTGTTTTCGTGGGAGGAAAACGCACTGAGGATATACGCTGGGAGATGAGGATTGATTTGTTTCACCTTACTAGGAAGTGAGTGCTGTGTCCGGGAAGGGGAGGGACTCCGACGACAAGTCTGGGGCGCTGCTGTTGCTACTCACAGGGCTGCACCATAACAGTGCAGCGATTTCAATCCGAAATAATCCACTCGGTCTTTGTTATTTTCGCGTAAGTAACCTAGCGTGACGTTTAACAGCATAGTGGTTTCAGTTTGGGTGTAAATGCGCGTTTTGTCCGGTTCTGCCCGATTCGGCCTGCAAGGCTAAATGGCACAGCGCAGGCTTATCACTAACCATAAACGTCCGTCAAGTTACCCGTGAACTTTGTCACATTTCGGAGCCATGACCAGCGTGTTATTGGCGAGAAACGGCAGGAGAGCGATAGCGGCGATCGGCGGGGGGCGCAGAGGCACCGGCGCACTTTCAGGAGTTCATCGGTCTGCGCAGCGCACCATCATAGATCTGTCCTACTCAGCGCACTTCATGGATTTCAAAGGATCCTCCATACCGAGCAGCATGAAAAAGCTGGTCGTAAACAGGCTAAGTCCCAATTTCAGGGAGGCCGTTTCCATGCAAACCGTTGCTGTTCCGACACCCGGAGACGCGGAGCTGCTCGTCAGGAATCGGTAAGTTGTTTTTTTTGAAAGGTTGGCCACGGATAATAGTGTGGTCCTGTTTTCTGTTTCTACTCTGCACGTTTTGGAGAAGCGAAACGGGACCTACAGAGTCTATTTGTGGATGAATATTCGCAGCCTATCAGTCACAATAAGGTTGAGAAGTTGTAAAAAGGCTTCCCTTACCTCGGTTTACCCATGTCCAGCACCTGCGATCAACATCATCATCACAAGATGGCAAAATACGTGAGGAATAAGCGTTGTACTGTAATTCCAAGTTCCGCCCTCTCTGCATTTGTCTATCAATCCATCTCGGCATCTCTCTCTCTCCCTCTCTCTCTCTCTCCCCCCTCTCTCTCTCTCCCTCTCTCTGTCCTCCTGTCTCTCTACGTCACCAAACTGCAAACAGAAAGTCGTGGGGGGGTTCAGACTGGCATCAAGAGATGCAGATGATGGAGAAGGAGATGCAGTGTTTTTACATGGCGCGGGAACACAGAGATATAATTCCCCCTCATTCACAGCTGCAGGAAGCCAGCAGCACATGCACAGATAAAGAAAAGACAAGGAAAGAATAAAGCCACCTAAAGTCAGTCTCTTTGAATCATTGTCAAATTAAGAACAGTACAGAGCTGCGTACACGCTCAAAAAGGTGGACATGGTGTGAATAATTCTTTACGCAGCATTTCTGGCTCAATTTCTCTGCAAATGTCTCACCCTGATTTTGATTTGCCTGATGCATGTCTTCAGATCTGATTTAAATATTTAGTAAGCCTCACACAAACACACCTCAGGGCAGTATTGACTATAGTAAAACCTAAAGACTCGGTCAGAGCAAGTGTAAAACAGTCCATTAGTGTCTCACTGCTCAGCAGGTGATCGGCTGCACCTGAACTCTTACCTTTGACCGCTTCTTCGCAAGTATACAGTCCAGTCCGGGGAGGCGTCACACTCTCTGGATCAGAGAAAACACGTTAATAAGAATAAACGATTTTGTTTTCTGGGAAAAGTCGTCCAATATTGCACAGTATCAGTGCAATCCTAATGGAATCTAAAAGATGTTAAAAAGTGTTAAACCCAGAATGAAGAAGTGATAAGTGAAAGGATCCAGACTGCAGCGAGAGAAGCTGATGGATTAACAAGGAGGAAATGAAACTTTATTTTCTTTGTTATAAATGTATAAATGTGTGACTCCACTAAAGAGGATTTTATTAATGTAGAGTCAATCCTGTAATTTCTCCAATGCTGAGGCCTGTGTGTGTGTGTGATATGATCTACGTGTAAACTTGAACGAAGCTGAGTAAATACACTAGCTGCACATGGAAGACAAAGGTGGCGTTATTAAGCTTTTCAGGATTTTCTTAACACTGGACCGTCATGAACGCTGTTTGCACTGTTGTATTTTTTTCTTCAGATAATATTTTTAATAAGTCTGCATCAAAATACAAATTATTTGCATAAATTGAAATGTGAGGTTTACTCTGACTCCGAACTAAATGCATTCAAACCTTTGTTTTAAGGAGCAGCTTTACTATTGTTAGGTTTAAAATGCAAACAAGTGTTTTTTTTGTTTTCTTTTACCTTCCTTAATTTTCAGATGAAGTTTTTTCAAACCTCATCTCTTTAAAGAGATTTCAGCTTAACTGTCAGATATCAAATACTTACAAAACACTGTGTTTTGAGTTTTGCACACCGAAACAGTAACTTTGATGAGAGCACAATATTTCCCCGAGAGGAAACCGATTCGTCGGATGCAAAGTAGTCAAATCAAGGTGTGTTGTTGTATCATCCTGACCCATCTATAAACCACAGAAGCATTATCTCCAAGCTCAAAGTACACGTGTGACATGCACAGTAATGAGGCTCAGCATGCGTGCCGCTCTAACAGACAGTAAATGATTTATTTATACATTCCTTTCTCACATATTTGTTTCTAACATGTTACCAAAGTAAGATGAAAACACCCGTCTTCGTGTTGAGGCAAGAAGCAGCTATCTGAGATTTTGAAAGTGCAGTTTTGTTGTGGGTGTCTCTGAAGACAATGAATCATGACATCATGCAATGTGTTTTGTGATACAAACCTTCCCCTGTCAGTGCAGGACTGTTCTCCTACAGAGAAAGAGGAATCATTGCCAAAACAAGCCAGAGTGTTTGTACCCCCGTGCAGACAAGGAAGTCTTGACCTTCAGACGGAATTCAGGGAATACTGGCTCATACTAATGTCCACATGAAAGTGTCTGAGATTTTTAAAAGTGTTTAGCTTTAAAGGAAATCTTGTAAATGTAACTTGTTTCCCAGTTTAACCCAGAGTTCTTGTTTTTCTGTTTCAGTTTTGTTGGAATCAACGCCTCTGACATCAATTATACATCTGGCCGATACGACCCTTCAGTGAAGCCCCCCTTTGACGCTGGTTTTGAGGGGATCGGTGAGGTCGTCGGCCTCGGCCTCAGCGCCAGCTCCCGTTTCACTGTTGGGGACACTGTGGCCTACTTCGCAAACGGTGCATTTGCTGAGTACACGCTGGTGAAAGCCAAAGAGAGCATCCCCGTCCCTGCGGTGAAGCCAGAGTTCCTCACCCTGCTGCTCAGCGGGGCCACGGCCTACATCGCCCTGAAACGTCTGGGTGACCTGGCTGAAGGTGAGACCGTTTTGGTCACAGCCGCTGCAGGTGGAACGGGACAGTTTGCGGTCCAGTTTGCCAAACATGCTGGCTGCCATGTGATTGGTACCTGTTCATCCAACGAGAAAGCCGGCTTCCTTAAATCCATCGGCTGTGATCGGCCGATTAACTACAGCTCTGAAGACCTGGCGAAGACACTGAAGAAAGAGTACCCTAAAGGCATAGACGTGGTGTACGAGTCTGTCGGAGGCAGCGTTTTAGAACTCGCTGTGAAAAGTTTGGCCAACAAAGGTCGGCTGATCGTGATCGGCTTCATCTCGGGGTACCAGAGCGCATCAGGGTTCCCACCTTTTAAAGGGGACACCCTGCCTATCAGGCTGCTCCAGAAGTCCGCCAGTGTTCGAGGTTTCTTCCTGCCACACTTCTTCAGCGACTACAGAGAGGCTCTGGGTACTATGATGCAGATGTACGGAAAGGGGAAGCTGCAGTGTGAGGTGGATTGTGGGGATTTGTCAGAAGGGGGGAGGTTTGTGGGTTTGGAGTCGGTGTTCAGGGCTGTGGACTACATGTACGCGGGGAAAAACCTGGGCAAGGTGGTGGTGGAAGTCGCACCCCCCGCTGTTGATAACAGTAAACTGTGATTGAAGTGATTGTTTCTGCTCTAAAACATGATTAGACTTGAGCCTGAATGATTGTTGGTTGTGGAGGAGAAGAAATCTGTGGTGCTTTAATTGTTCTTGAAATACAGAGATTATTTTTTCTTTATTTTTGTAAGATGACTGATCAAATACTTTACCTTGATGCCTTCTGAATAAAAAGAATTGGCAACTTTATGTCAGTTTTGGGAACTTTATGCCACATGTAAAGGTTGTTTTTGCAGGTGAAAATTCAAAGATGAATTCTCTGCATCAAAGATTATACCTCGGACAAGTATCTAGTTTAAAATCAAAGCAGTAGCTTCTGTGAGTTTTCCCTCTTTCGTGTTTTCATCTCGTGGCCCCCACCTCCAAATAGTTCCAGACCTGCTGCTATCACACGCCTTACTTTTTGGCACTCTCAGGCACTTTATCAACTGTAAATGTTTTATGATAGACCTCATTGTTTTTCTAATAGGGGCGTTCACTGGTATGTGCTTGTCAAAAGTGAGTGCTGCTCCAGGTGTGCTTAGTGTTTCATTGGCTGTTTGTGGCTGACAGAAACAGCATTCACACAATCAATCTTTTCATTCACATGCCCAGAAGCTGCACATAATAAAAAAAAATTAGTCCCGCTAACCGGGAGTTGGACCGGAGAAGGCCATTACTTTTTTACCACTGCAAGTAGGAAAAACTCTTTATGGTGAATGTATTGTGAAATGCCCTTTGACGTTTCTTCCATCTCCATTTTTTTTTCTTGTTTTTTGTATTTGATTTAGTTTTGAAACAACAAACAGAGCAGCTGATGAAGTTAAGTTAAATGCAAGATCATCCTCAAGATTTTTGTTGTTCAAAAGATAACAGGTCTTAACGCAAAAATCTCACACATTTGAACTCTGATTGACTGTTTTCTTTAAAAAGCGAGGAGCAGAACGTCCATGTCACATGAATGTTCTGTATGTAGTCTAAAGCAAACACCTGTTCCTACCTGGCAGGGAGGGCTGTAGTGTTCATGCACTGTGAACATGTTATTTCCTCATCCAGGTGGCCACTCAAAATATAACCCAGTGTGAAATACGTTACAGGTGTGACCCCAGCATGCAAAGCTGCTACCTTCACCAGACGGTGCAGGAAATCAGAAACACACCAGGCCAAGGCCGTTTTCAATCTGCAGCGAGGGAAGTCAGGGAGGCAAAGGAAACTCTTTGACATTTAGTGAAATTGATTATGAGTTTTTGCTCCTCGGTTGTAATTAAAATGAATTTGCTGTGAAGAGAAATGGTTTCATGAAAGGAAACCGTCAAGAGTAATCTTAAAAGAGAAGGAAATTTTACGTTTTTAAATCATAACCCTGACACAAAAGAAAAAAAACAAACAAACAAATGCTTAAACTATCATACAATTGTCTCTCTTTTGCACATTTTTAATTGCACTAGCCTGTTTAATTATTTTTATCTTTTATTTTGAAAATCAAATGTTTTCTTAAGCATGTCTTTCCTTGTCTTTAGCTTTGTTTTTACGACTAAAATTTGACTTGCTCTTTTATTCTTTTTTGACAATGGCTGTTTGCACAACCTTTAACCTTTGACCTTTAAATTAATGTAATTTAAGAAGAAACACATCAGGTTTAGCTTACCAGCATTAACTGAATGACTGTATTCATCGCTGCACCGTCACTGTTTGTTAAGGCCTCATGATGCAAAAGCAAGCTCTGACATGTCGGCCTTATTCACGGTGAGAAGTGTGATGATGCTGCTCATGTATGTTCAGTTGAATTTAGCATGCTCGAGTTCTGTTTGCATCTGTGTTGCACAGCGAGGAGGAGGAGGAAGAGGAGGAAAAAGGAGGAGGAGGCCAGCTTTAGCATCTCTTCAATTAACAGGAGAGGCCTCGTCTGGGCGTCCTCCAGGGTCTACCTGTACCTCCGCTGATTAGTGAGCAGTCACAGCCCCAATTAGAGAACACAGGAACCTGGAGAGACAACACTCTTTATTTAATTGGATTGTGTTGCAGTCGGAGGCTGCTAACTGGCAACGTATTGAAGCAACCTGAAAACTGTGGAGCGTAAACAAGACATTAAAGATAGAGACGGTCTTCTGAAGCACTCGCAGACTTCTGTGTGATGGTGAAACTTTGGAAACATTACTTCCTGAGAGGAAATATGCAAAGTGTTTCTTTCATTTTTAGAGGTTCTTCTTCTTCTTCTCAGAGAGGGTCATTAATATGCCAGTTTAATTCAGACAGTTAGGCAGAAATAATGGAGGGTAAACAAAGCTTATCGTTGTGACCTTAATGCAAATGTGAATGACTTCTACTTAAAACACTCTCCCTTTGCAGCAGGTATTATCTAATATATGCAAAGCATAAAGAAATTTGTGAATGTGTTTTTGTTTGAATATGATCAAATAAAACGTTAAGCCTTGTTAATTTTTTTTTGTTCTTGTAGTTTTATCATTATCAATAAATCATTGCTTTAACAGAAGTGCCAACAATTACACTTTCAAAGATTTGCTGGTATTCTGGGAAATATTTGACAAAATGACCCTTTTTTTTAACCTTCAAAAGAAAAAGAAAATCTAGCCTTTGACAGAAAATGTACATCATAAAAGCTGAGGGAACAAGGTTGAAACTGCTCTGTCAGACATACTGTACATGCTGGTGTCTTACAGCTGCAGCCAAACCTGCTGATGTGGTGTGACCAGGAGGCTACGGTGGCTAATGTTAGTCAGGACGAGCAGACTGGAGCTGTTTACTTCTTAGCTGATATTGCTGCATTATTTTGCAGACTTTTTGACCCTTTTCTCTTCAGGCCATCTAAAGAGGCGGCTGCTCAGCAAAGGTTGAATGTTCTTGTTTAAAATGAAAAATGTCCGCCTTCATGTCTCCTTCTGCTGACAGTGTTCATTTAAAAGCAACAAAACAGATAAACTCTTGAAACTGATCTTCAACAGTTGATCTGTTGATTTGCAATGTTTTTTATCCATTTTCAGCTATTTCTTTTGGCATCTTTGCCCCCTTGAGCTTGAGCAAGATGAGAAATATAGGGATCAGATAGATGAGGAAAGCATGAACCAAGGCGTCATGACTGAGTATTGAACCAGCAACCACTACGGCAGAGAATAGCCTTGGTAGATGGGGCACCCCACTTACTGTTTCTATGACAAGGGCACAGCAATGAGCTGCATCGTTTTCATAGTTGTATTTACACACTCCAGGGGCATGTCCAGAGGGCTTGCCTGTGGTGGCACTGCCCCTCTTTGAAACCTGATCGGCCACCACAGGTGTCCCAAAATCCTGCAGTTGTTTTTTTTTTGCCGTCTCAGTTGACCATTCAGGCAGCGTTTTACAAGACTGCTGTTTTGTGTTATTTATTTATTTTTTTAATTAAGAAATAAGCAAATTCTTCTTTTTTCTATCGTTCCTGAGCAAAAAATAAAATAAAATAAAAAAAAACACATGTATGTCATATAAATGACAGCTGGCAAAGTAGATAGTAAAGACAGAGAAGGTTTGTGTGTGACATTCAGGCCACCCTTACCTATGTTAGTGCACTAGTTTGGCCCTCGTCACTAAGTCTGGACACGCCCCTGCCTTCCAGGTAGTAAAATTCTCAAAAAGTCTGCCCCCTCCCCTTTTTTTTTTTTTTACTCTGGACCCTCCTTTTCAGCAGTTTCCCTCTCTGGAACATGTGCCACATAACAAAGACATCACCCTCATAGTGTGGGACGCTAGTCTACCTCCAGGCGCCTGAGGGACACTGGCTGGCTGCTCGCTCGGTGCTGCCAGGATCCAGACAGTCCAGTTTCTTTCTCTGCAAGTCAGTCAGACCCCCTCAACTCCCCAACTCCCCGAGCCCCCGTCACTCCTTCCTCCGCCTAATTACCAAACCTAAAACCCCACTCGACTAATTAGCCACAGCAGACCCAGGAACTGTGAGTAAAGGTAAAGAGATGGCTTCATTCAAGACTCTGCGAGCATGTGTGTTTGTGTGTGTGTGTTAAAGAGAGTGAAAGAAAGAGACAAGAAGAAAGGGAAATGGAATATTCAAGCCTCCGTTAGCGAGCACATCTCCACAGCCAATTAAAGTCATTTATTAAACTCTTTGCGAAACCTGAGTTGTGCATGACAGAATGATAGGGGGATGTGTTTGTTTGTGGCTGTGCATGTGTTTCCAGGTGTGTAGGTGTGCGTGTGCAGAGTTTGCACGCGCGCACACACTCATGTCCACATGTGTCTCAGTATGGCTGGCAATCTGTCGGCTTTTCTGTCTATCAGCGGCCCGAGCGCTCAGTGGGACATAAATTACAATATGCAGCAGAGCCACTTGTGTAAGTCTCATTGAAGGGGAGGAATAACTTTCTTAATCAAGTCCCCCTGATTAATTGTAATAAAGGTGTCATCTGTAAATGTATCCTCCTGATTGAGTAATTCGAGGCCGGAGACAGTAAGCACATCCCTGGTGATGGGAGGGGGGGGGGGAGTGGACAAAGTGGAGGGGAGGCTGGGTGAGGTGGGGAGGAAGGTGTGTGTGAATGGAGGGACAGACTGAGACACAAATAGCTCCTGGGCACACTGGCAGCCTTCGCACAACTGACAGTTATGAAATACAATTATCAGTGTGATCTGCTTAAGAATTCATCAGCGGCTTCAGCGGCCAGTAAAGACGTTTTTAGAGCGAGGGAGAGAGAGAGGAGGGGAGGGAGGGAAGGAGGGAGGGAGGGAGAGAAGGCCTCACCGATTAAATGAGAGTTTTATTTTGTCCAGCAGATTGTTCACATTATGTTGCACGATTGTGGGAGAATTATCCTTCCTGTTGTTTACCTCTGCTGGGATCTACTCACCGTTTTGCTCCATGTTATCTACTTCAAGGTCCAAACCAGTACAACTTCAAAAGTTTGATCATTGGGAGACATCGAAGACACCCGTTAAGTTTTCACTGGTCAGCTGCAGGTCAGACTGTATCTGTCAGTGTCTTAATCTGGCTGATTCAGTGTTCAATTTAGAAAGTATGAAGACATCAAAGTAAGTGCTCCTCATGTGACTCCTTGTCTTGGGTTGCAGAGTTTGTGATTACTTTCCATCAGAAACTAAATCACCATGTTGAAAAACAACAACAAAAAGCTGTGTTTTGTTTCAGAACAATAAAAGACAAATATAAGAAAAAAGGGAGACTGTGCTGACTACGCTGACTGTGGTTGAAAACTCAAGAGAGATAAACTGTTGAGTAAAGAGTGAGTTTTTGGTATCCCAAATCTGACTCTCGGCCATATTGTCATGGTAACTTACTTAGTTACTTACTTGTTTGTGTTTGACCCTGTTTCCCTCCTGTTCTCTGTGTTTTATTCTTTAGATCAGTTTTCAGTGTTTCCTGTTTTATTTTGTAGTAATTGGGTCCTTGTGTTTGTTGTCTGGTTTTACTTCCCTAGTTTTCCCTCCTTTGTTAATTACTCATGAGTTTCACCTGTGTCTCGTTTGCCTCACCTGTTGCTTGTTTCCCAGTGTGTATTTAGTCCCTGGATGTGTCCGAAATGGATCCCTAACCCCTATATAGGCGACTATATGGGGGTTAGCACCATTTTAAGGGGTGTCCGAAACCTGAGTGATCAATTCCAATGCACCATATAGGCGAGTCAAAATTTCCCATAGAGCATTGCAAAATGTAGTGACCATCCAATGGTCACTCACCGGTGGTGGACATCTCATCATGCATTGTGTCTTGCCATGTAGTGTCCAAAACCTCCGGTGATTGAGCTCACTACATAGTCAGCTACATAGTGAAACCCCATATGGAGATTAGGGGTTAGGGATTGAGTAATTCATTTGGGACACAGCCCCTGTCTTTCCCTCTGTCTTTGTTAGTTCATTGTGTGTGTTTTGTCTGCCTGTTCCATGTGATCCTATCTTTGAGTCCCTAGTCTCCTTGTGATTTTTTTCCCCAGTGTCTTTTCTTGGATTTGGAATTTTTGGTTGGACATTTTAATGTAAGTTTTGTTGTTTTTAATTTAGTTCTTTATATATATACATCTATTTTTGGATGTTTTTCCTTTGTTTAACCCTGGCTCATGACAGTAACCTGTGCACATGAGGCACTAACTCTACAAAGTGGGATAGTGATAGTCAACATAATCTGACTGTCCTTTGATGACCCTTCTCCCATTTATCCCATTTGCTTCAGGTAAAGTTCACTTTTTAAACTGAGTCCAGTTACATAAAGAGGAATGATGACACATATTAAATTATATTAAATTACTGTTTTTATTTACGGGCCCAATATCCTGCAAAATCACTTTCAATCTGTTGTTTGTAGGAGAAAACACAGAGGGTATTTCAGTCAGAGGGTATTTTGAGAAGTGAAAATACCAAAGTTGATTGCACTCATTTTTTTTTTTTTTACTGCCAAAACTTTTTATATTGAACTTTTTCTTCTTGTATTAACAGCCTAAATTGTTAGTGCCCAACCTGGAGTCTGAGCCCCTTAAGGAGGGTCTTCAGAGGTCTCAGGGTGGCACAAGGCTGCTGTTGTGAGGTCAAGTACAGATATTGACTAAAAATTCTTATAACACACTTGCTGGATAGTCTGGATAGTTCTGCCTGTGGATAAAAAATTGTAAAAACACATTTTCCACTCACTTTTTGGGGGTAAGAAAATCAAATTGAGATGTTGGTTCAACAATAATTTATCAATTTGTTTGTCTGTTTGTTTTCTGAGAAGGTCTTGGTTGGCTTTGGTTTTCTACAACCCAAGGAGGGGTGGGTCCCGGGCAGAAAGGTTAGGGACCACTTGCTGTAATGAATAGAGAACCACTGTCCCCAAAGCAAGAACATGTGAGTGAAGAGAGAAAGTTCTTCATAAAGTTCTAGGTGAAAACTCCTCCAGCCTGAGTTGTTTTTATTTTGAAAATATTCTGTATATACCATAAGCAGAGATATATGTGAAATGGTTGTGTGGTACTCCTCAACCCTGTTCCTATTTGTCTTGTGTCACACTAAGAACCTCTGGCCTGGTGTGCATATCGCAGATTTTTTTGACAGCCAGTGTTAAAGCAGAGTGTTTACAAAGCCAGGTTTGAACCTGGACACCATGACACCTCAAACCCTGAATCACAACCGCACACTTGAATATTGGACTCAGTTAGACTCTTGATAATCTGCAGGTAGATGTAGACAATTTTACATTCACCTAAAAGAGGACACCGTTTCAATCATGATTTCAAAGCACTGTAAAACAAACAAGAAAAACTTGAATGCACGGCTATCAACAGAAGATGATAAAACTTTATCCGAGCTAGCTGCACTACCTGTAAATGCATTGACTATAATATCAGAACAAGCACGAACATTTCCATTTGACAGATAAAATCAGCCTGGACAACATTCATCATCTCTTTGTATACCTACATTAACCCTTCAGGGCCTCTTCTGTGGCCTCTGGAGGGGAGTGAGGGTCCCTTTCTGTGTCTGTTAAGATGTAGATATA